CACTTCTGTGGACATCAGAGCTCTGGGCTCTCTGGGAGAGCCAAGCATTCAGGACCTTCACTGACAGCCCTACCCCCTGGCTGCAGGCCTTCAGCCTTGGATTGTGCATTAGTTTGTTGGCTCCCCTGATTCTAAGGCATTTGAATTGGGACTGAACCTCATTATCTGGTCTCTTGGGTCTCCAGACCTCATATGGGACTTATCACGGGACTTCTTCGTGTCTATAACCATATATGCCAATATCCCTAATAAGTCCCTCTTGTCAGGCTCTGTCTCAGGGTGGAGATATAGTAAAATGGAGCAGGCCTCTATGCACTTCTTGACTCTCCTCACTAAAGATGCTCCAGCTCATAGGGTTGTCTCACCTGAACTTTTGTCCTTCTGGGAGACCGTCTAATGACTGAGAGAGGGACAAAGGGACAATACCTTTCTCTTAGTTCCTAGTGTCTCTAAAGGGCTGCATCAGCTCCATAGGTGTCCTCAGGCCATCAAAGCTATCTCAAAAGTCTCCTCCACTCCTTTTTCCAACAGTGGGAGTAGAACAGGGAGTTGTCCCTGGCTCCTGGACTTTTATGGGGTACAAGGAGCCTGTCCTAGGCAGGTGCTATGGGACTGCCTGACTAGGGACACAAAGCCTAGGATTAGAACCTGGACACTATCATGGGCAGGAGCCTCTTTACAGGGCAGGAAAACATGTACCCTGGGCTTCCTCGATGGAGAAAGAGGAACCAGGGGCCTCGATCTGACTAGAAAGACAGATGCCCACAGAGATTTGCAGGCCCAGGGCTCCATCCACACCATGGGCCCTTCCTGTCTCAGTCCATGTGCAATCTGGGCGCTGAGTTAGAGACTGAGACAGAGAATAATCCACCCTACCAGATGCTGTGTCTGTACCCAGTATCCCCACGTGGTGACAACATTTAGAGGCTCAGAAGTGTATGCATCTCCTGCAGATACTGATCCACAGGAACAGCTGGCCTTACTGTGATCGGCCTAGTGGACAATGGGTCTTAAATTTGGTACAGCAAGCATTCTCAGACCCCCTGGCATGCTAGAAGGGGTCAGAAGGAGGACTCCTTGCTGGAGCTCCATCCTACACCATAGCAGGAGTTCAGCCCCTCCCACTGGGCCTCTCTCCAGTGGCCTCTGACTCTGTGTCTCCTTCTTTCTCCTTCTTTCCCTCTCCCTGCAGTGCCATGAGGTCCTTGAACCACTCAGCTTCTCCATCACCCATCCGGGCTCCAAACAGCTGCTTTCAGACCAGTCTCCCCCACAAGCTTCCCCAGTCCTGTCGACGTCCTCTGCCAAATCTTCCGACTCTCATGTCTACCACAACTTTTGGATCTCTGAGTCTTATTTAATATTTTTTTCTCTCTTAATTACTTAGTATTGATCTGGAAACCAGACCCTGGTTCCACTGCACAGAATTAATAGCAGGTAGCTATTCATTTTCGTTAACGTTAGGTCCTGAACCAAGTTATACCCTAACCGCACTGGTCGGTACTGAGGCCTAGCCCCATTCTCCCAGCCACTCCCTCCCTCAAAAGCACCTTTCCACTTCCTTCTCCCACAGCTTAACCCAAGCTGGTTTGGTCATTTACTTACGCTTGAGGAAATGGGAAGCAGAGATAGTTAAAGATTCCAGAACTTTCTCCCACAACACCCACCCTTCCTGGCTTTCCCCTGAGTATTCCCAGCTACTTCCTTGCTTTGAAAGACTTGCCTTCAATTCAGACTTCAGGTTCTCTGTTGAGTAGACCCACCCACCTTCCCTCTACACTCTACTCCACCCCACAGTGGCCTTTCCACCAGTCCCAGTGACCCCTTGACCTATCAGGGTCTAGGTGAGGAGGGGATACACGACCACCCACACCTTCTTTTCCTAAAGACTGCCCACTTCTTCAGATCTCATCTTGCAGCCTCTCTGTGGGGACTTCAGAGTCCTCTTCAGAGAAGCTAGCTTCCCCTGTGTGGCCTGGTCACATGGAAGTTGGTGAGCAATTGCTGTCAACAGTGGGTACAGCTTGTCCAGGCAGCCCCAGGTAGTCTAGACAGTAAGAGACATAGATCAGGAAAAGTCCCTGTGACGGACCAAAGGGCCTGAAGTTTCAATGTACCGTTTATGCTCTCAGCAAGCGTCTGGAGAAAGAAGGGCGAAGGCTGTGTTTAGGGCAGATTGACTCTAATCAGAAGGGGCAGGGCCAGGTGGGCACCAAGCCTGTGTGAGCCTGGTCATTGCACAGACAGGAGGTGATTTATCCAGGCTGTCCCCTTCAGTCCCTCCAACCCCTACAATCCATGGTGATGGAACAGAGGTGGGAGTCAGAGGTTGCTGGGCCTCCCTAGGTTTATATTCCACAGGAATGGAGGCACCAAGCATATCACAGCCAGCCCTGGTCACTCCCCAGAACCCCTCTTTCCTCAGGAGATGGGTCTCAAAAGGCTACTGCTCCCAGTGCTGAGCAAAGACTCCTGGGTAGATGGTGAAGGTGACCCTAGCCTCACACTAACAGGCAGCACCACTGGGGTCTTAGCACAGAGTGACACAGAGACCATAGGGCAGGATTAGTCCTGTAGATTGAAGCTCCATCCCTGGCCCAGACAGTGGGCCATCTGACCCACCCCCCCTCCTTAGGGACAAGGCCTCCTCTTACTTGCTCAGTCCAGATTTCCGGATTCCACTGCCTGCGAGGAGGAGTCCTGAGGTGGAAATAATACAAAGCTCTGACCAGCCCTCTCTCACGTGGAGAACTGTGTGCACCTGGTCGGGCTAATATCTTAGAACCACACCATCCTACGTGGCAAGGGTCCCACAGTAGGGGTAGCTACAATGTCCAGTCTGCCACAGTAGGGTTACAGTCCTCCAGAGACCAACCAGGCTTTTTTCTTCCCACAGCTGCAGTATCCACCCCCACCCCAAGGAATCCAGAATTGTTGCTGCCTCTTCCTCCAGCAGCGGGACTGAAGGGGGGTTGGGTCCCTGCAGATCCTAAGGAGACTCATCCTGACCCACATGTGACCTCAACAAGCTCCCTGAGAGTTGAACAGATCCCACATCTCGGGGCTCCCAGAACATGCCAACGTGCTCTCCCGGGCCCAGCAAGTCCATGCCTCCCGGCACAAGGCCAGCACCTCACTGCCAACTGTTCTGTGTACAATGGCAGGCCACAGGCAAGCTCACAAGGCCTTTGCACCCAGCCTGTCACACAGGGCCCTGCCTTCAGCTCCCCTTTCCTCCTGACTGTGAAGGCTTGATGGCTCAGGTTTTTTGTTGGGGCTGTTTGTTGTCCCTGAAACAGGAAGGTCTCCCTGGCTGATGACCTCTTGATGATCTCTGTTCACAGGCCGGTCACTGGTGGCTCTTCCTGGACCTGCCCTGCTGCCCCTGTGGCTTTCCCTGACTCCCTGCTGGTTCTCCTTCCACCAGAGAGAACACTTGAAAGCACAGTCCAGAGCCTGACCTTCTAGAGTCCCCAGATCCAGACACAGACTCTAGCCTTTCCTCTCAGTCCCTTCCCGTGCTGTCTGGTCTGGGGTCTTTGCACACATGCTGACCAAGTATGTGTAAGGCATAGGCCTCAATTATGTCTCTGCTTAACCACTCAGCCACCACTGCTGGGTAGAGATCACTCTTTTCTCATTCCCTTCTGGCTCCTCTAAGTTCCCTAACTTGGTGACAGGTCCTCGTACTTTCTGTCTGTTCCCTTTTGCCCCAGTGCTCTCCTGGTCTGCCAAATGTGATGACCAGAATGAGAAATGACTTCCTTCTCTAGTTTGTTTTCTGTTGCTATGATAAAACACTATGATCGAAAACCGACTTAGGGGAAGAAACTGTTTACTTGGCTTATACTTCCAGATTACAGTCTATCATTGAGGGAAACCAGGATAGGAACTTAAAACAGAACCCATGTAGTAATGTTGCTTGTTGGTTTGTTTGCAGACTCATGATTGGCTAGCTTTCTGATATATCCCAGGACCACCTGCTTATGGAATGGTGTTGCCCACAGTGGGATGGGTCCCCCTATATCAGTTAACAATCAAGACAATCCCCCACAGACATGCCCACAGGCCAAACTGAACTTGACAATCCCTCAATCGAGATGCCTTTCTCAGGTGACTCTAGGCTCTGTCAAATTGACAGTTAAAGCTAATGAAGGCATTCTCCCAGACAGACAATGTCCATACACGACTCTAGGATTCAGAACCCTCGGGAAGGAAAGCCTAACCTCTGAGTAAAAAGCCCTAAGCATCAGGATACAGTACAGAAAGCCTGGGTCCCTAAACTCAGGCAGGACCAAGTAGAGAACTCCAAGTATGCTCCCCAAATCAACACACCCCCATTTCCTCCCTTCTCGGACCAGTCATCTTCCATGGAGGCCTACCTGAACTGTGTTTAGAGATAATTTATATCATACGCAGCCACAGCTCATCTACCACAAGAGCTTCCCATGGGCATATCGGAGTCCATGTTCTCATGGACTCATCCACGCGCCAGGCAATGGCAAGACTCCCTTCGAGATAGATCATTCTACCACTATTAATTTACATACTCTCAGCACTTTTTTTTTTTTTTTTGAGACAGGGTCTCTCTATGAAGCCCTGGTTATCCTGAAACTCTCTACGTAGACAAGGCCAGCCTCAGACTCATAGATCCTGCCTCTCTCAGGTGCTCTGGGATCAAAGGCTTGCACCACCACACCTGACTTTCCACAGCACGTAAAAAGGAAATGTTGCCTACACGGTCTTTTACACTTGGCCTCTTTTATCAACAAAATATTAAAGGGCTTTGTTTTGAGACAGGGTCTTTATAGTCCTGGTTGGCCTGCACCTTGTGGGAATCCTCCTGCTTCTGCCTCCCTAGGGCTGCGATTAAAGGCGTGTGCCACCACACTCAGCATACTATTTTATTTTTGTGTACATTAGGTTCTCTAAGGAAACCGAACTGATAGAATGAGCATATATTAATATATGTTCAAAGGCAATTTATTAGAATGACTTACAGGCTGTGCTCTGGATATTCCAACAAGAGCATTCTCCCAGTGGAAAGGCCAAGAATCTGGTAGTTGCTCAGTTCACGTGACTGGATGTCTCAGCAGTCCCAATCTGGTGCTGGAGTCCTGGAAGATTCCTGAAGAAATGCTGGTCTTTGCTGCATGATGGAATCCTGAAAAATTAGGTTCTAACACCAGCAAAGGAATGCCTCAACAAAACTGGCAAAACATGTGGGAAAACAGAAAAGAGAAGGAGAAGGAGAAGTAGGAGAAGAAGCAAGCTTCCTTCTTTCATGTACGTTTATGTGAGCTACCACCAGGAGGTGTGGCCCAGATTTAGGGTGGGTCTCCCAACCTCAAAGGATCCAATTGCAGGAACGCTCAACTGCATGAGTTTTAGTTGATTCCAGATGTAGTCAATTAACAGCCAGGATTAGTCATTTTAAAGGGTATGGGTGCTTTGCATTCATGTTTGGGCATCATGAGCATGCAGTGCCCATGGCCCATGGAGGCTAGAAGAGGGCATTAGAACCCTTGGAGCTGGAGCTACTGGGCATTGTAAGCCACTGGCTGTGGATACTGGGATCCCAACTCAGGCTCCCATGATTGAGCAACAGGCCCTCTTAATGCTGAGCCACCTCACCAGCCCTAGTTCCACTTTTTGGCTATGATAACAAATGCCACCGAAGTTCACGGATCCATTTTCATATGAATGTATTTTCATTGACCTTGGACATACAAACACACATTTCTTATGTATGAGTAAATACATGGACCAAATTTTTTGATTATCAATCCCCTCAAGACAAATTCAGATTTCCTTTGGGGGGTTTCAGAGGTTTTATGACAGTAGAGACTTTCCTCCCATGACAGTGCAAAGATAGTTATTTGTTACAACACCACCAGTTGTCACAGGTTTCTTTTAAAAATGAATCTTTTCCTTTAGAGTATACCATCTTCTCCCATTCCAATTCCACATATACAGAATCACAGAAAGCACAGTGGTCACGATTCCTGGAAATTCAGTCTATATTGTGGTCTCTACTTATCATTTGGGTAGAGAAGTGAAACCCTTTGGGTATCTGGGTGCTTGTATGCCTGGAGAGTCACTGCCTAAGTCCCAACAAGTCGGATTTGGTTACCCATTCTTCATAAGTCAGTTAAAAAGAGCTAAGTTAAGGAGCTAGGGATATGGCTCAGTGGTTAAAAGAACTGTTGCTCTTGCAGAGAACCTAAGTTTGATTCTGAACACACATGTCAGACAGCCCTCAACAACATGTAACTACAACCCCAGGGACTCATGACTCATATACCCTCTACTGACCCCCATAGGTGTGTGCAAATGCGCGTGTGCAGGCACACACACACACACACACACACACACACACACACACAAAGAGATCATACACTCAGAAAGACAGACACATTTACACATAGATAAAATGAAATCTTATACACAATAAGCAGGAAGGGGGAGATTTATCTAATACGGTTACATTGGGAAAAGAGACAGAGAGATCCAGAGACGCCCTGCCCCAAGTCTATCCTCAGGGTCCTGGCATGAGGGTTGGTTTAGAGGGCTCTGGTATGTATAACTAAGCAGTCCTGATCAAAGTGTGAACCCTTGGTTCACCATTACCTCAGCTCCCAAATTTTTCCTACAAGGTTCTTTGACAAGCTGCAAACCTTTCTTCAGGAGACAAAATTCTCTTCTGATTGTTCTACCATTTGAACTTTTTCTTCTCTCAGCATATTTCTGGGGAAATTCTAATTTCTTAGGCCCCATTATCTCAGTAGTCTGATAGCCAAAGAGAGGGGCAAGAATGCTCATTTCTGCCAAGGCATTCCTTGGGCTGGTTCTAGGCTGAGTTCTGGTAGCAGAACAGATTTAGAAATAAGGCTTTCAAGTCCCTTTTCCTCAACAAATCAAAGCAATCTCTTGCTAACACAATGCTTGCACCTCCCGTTTTAGTACAAATGTTGGTGTTAGCTACTTTTCTCATTGCTGTGACAAAATACCTGTCGAAACCAGCTTAAGGACAGGTTTGTTTTGGCTCTTGGTTTGAGGCTCACGGCAGGGAAGGCAAGGTGGCAGATGGCAGGAAGGAGAGGCACCACCACGGCATGCTTAATTATTTTATGTGTATAGGTGTTTTCCTACACACATGTCTTCACATTATATGCATGTCCAATGCCAATGGAAGCCAGACGAGGACCTCACATCCACTGGAATGTTGTGAGCTGCCATGTGGGTGCTGGGAACTGAACCCGGGTCCCCTTGAAGAGCAGCCAGTGCTCTTAATGGCTGAGCCATTTCTCTAGGTCCTAGGTCTCATTTTGATCATTTTGGCAGGTATGATATTCAATAGATTTGTCTTGGTTTTTTTCTGTACAGGGATGGCTATACTAGAGCCATATGCTAAGAATGCTCAACTTTCCTCATTGAGTTGTATCATCCTCTTGTTTAAAACCAAAACTCAATTCTAGAATTTCTATTCTATGTATTCCATTGCTCGCCATTGCTACTGTGTTAGTTAATTTTTTATTTGAGTTTGGTTTAGTTTTGTTGTTTTTGGCAACCTGATACAAGCTAAAGTCACATGGGAAGAGGAAACCTCAACTGAGAAAATGCCCTCATCAAATTGGCCTGCAAGCAAGTCTGTGGGGCATTTTCTCTATTAATTATGGATATGGGAGGGCTCAGATAATGGATGGTGTCATTCCTGAGCAAGTGCTCCTGGGTTGTATGTGTTGATTTTTGGGTTTTTGTTGTTGTTGTTGTTTTTGGTTTTCGAGACAAGGTTTCACTGTATCTATCAAGGCTGTCCTGGAACTAGCTCTTGTAGACCAGGTTGGCCTCGAACTCACAGAGACCCACCTGCCTCTGCCTCCCGAGTGCTGGGATTAAAGGCATGCACCACCACTGCCCGGCTATACTTGATAGTTTTATGCCAAGTTGACATAAGCTAAAGTCTTATGAGAGAGGGGAACTTCAACTAAGAAAATGCCTTCTTAAGATCAGGCTGTTAGGCAAGACTGTAAAGCATTTTCTTAATTAGTGATTGATATGGAAGGGCTGGGGCCATCCCTGGGCTGCTCATCCTGGATTCTATAAGAAAACGGGCTAAGAAAGCCGTGAGGAGCAAGCCAGTAAGCAGCACCCGACCATGGTCTCTGCATCAGCTGTTGCCTTCAGGCTTCTGTCCTGTTTTGAGTTTCTGTCCTAACTTCCTTTGAAAAGCAACTTACAGGAGCAAAGATTTACTCAGGCTCACAGTTCGAGGGTACATTCCATAATGACAGGGAAGGCATGGGTGCTGGGATTTAAGGCAACTGGTCACATTATACCAACAATCAGGATGCAGAGGGATGAACACTGTGCTCAGCACACTTTCTGCTTTTCATGCCCTCTAGGATCCCAGCCCACGGGATGGCAACTGCTCCCATTTCAGGTGTGTCTTTGCTTTGTAGCCAACCCAGTCTAGAAACTCCCTCACAGACATGCCTGTAGGTATGTCTCATGAAAGACTTTAAACATGTACCAGTACACTGTCCTTTTCCATGCTACTGTGTCCTTTTCTACGGTATGGTTTCCATCTTGCCGAATCATCCTGCCTAGGACCCTGGGGAGAAATGCCGAGACTGTCTTGTTTGTTTCATCTTGTCTTGTCTCTGACCTTTCCGGGTGAGGAGCCTCCAGTCTTTCTTGGGAGGACATAAGCTCAGGACTTTTATAAATCTTGAATCCTTCCTCGGGTCTAGAGGACAGATCCCCTTCTATTGTTGGGGAATGAGGTACTCTATCTGGTGAGCATGTGGGCTGGGAGAGTAGAGGGCTGCATTTCCCGTCTCTATGGAGATGGTCACAAGAGTTTTGTCTGGCACTGCTCTGGTTGTTTTTGGATGCTGAACTCTTTCAATACACAGCTGCCTTGCTCCCTGACCTGCATATGAATCTCTAGCAAGCAGAAGTAACGGTGGCCAACCTCCTCGCTTGAGCAAGCTCTGCATAAACAGCCCATTTGGATTGTCGTCGTGAATTTTAGGAAACTGAGAGAGCAGCTCTGCAACAACCTCCCCCTACCTCCTGCCACACATGCGCACGCACACACCCTCACACACACACACACACACGCACACAACACAGCAGAAGTCCTCTGTGGTGTGAGTCACAAAACCCTGGGACTGGGCCAAACAGGACTTGACCTTGAGTTTCCCATCAGGCCAGGCCCTGCTTCAAGTGACAAGGACATTTTGCCCTTACCCACCTAGAGACACACTGCAGCATCTCCGTCACTCTTGGGAAAACTGAGAAGCCAGTATAACATCATATTGGCAGAAGAATTTTGAGATGAGCCCTGGCTGTGAAAGCCTGCTCTTTCCACCTTCCCACACCTGCCGGACAGGGGAAAGCGGGAGGAACCTCCCTTCCCAGGCTTAGGCTTCCTCTCTCATTCCCTAACACAGCTCATCTGCCTTCACCACTGATATTTTGGAGCCAAGAAAAGAGATATTGTCCGGCTGAGCTAACCACAGGGAGCCTTCTCTGATGCATTCTCTGGATACCTACCTGATCCATGTCCTACCAAGCTGGCCTCTTGGTCTCCGCATGTCCTCATAGCCAAACTGGCAGGATGTTAGGCAGGGCACTGAGATGTGGTGCTCACAGGTGCAGGCCCTGTAAGGCGGCCCCCATATACTCTTGCGACCAATCATCTCAGCAAGTCTCCTGGAGTCAGTGAGGTTGTTCCCTACCCCACTCCCACCACATGGAACAGAATGCGCCCACGTTGACCTTCCACCTAACCCAGAACTGTCTAGGTTTCTCCTGCTTACATCTGCTCTTGGGTCCAAGAGAGTTTCCTTTCTGTGCCTTGCCCTGGAATGGTTCTCTCAGTCCACAGGCTTTTCAGACGTCAGAGTCTGGACCCATCTTAGCTCCTCTAAGACCCATAGGTCAGGTCTACTACTATTGTGTGACATTTCCCTGGGGAGATGCAACATGAACATCCATTCACTCCAGATTGGGAACTGACAGCAAACGAAAGAAAGATTCCACCAAAGAAAGATTGGAACTACTCACAGGAGCATGAGAGGCTACTTAAGAGATCCGAGACAACGTAAAGGCAGCTGCATCACCAAAAACCTCAGCATGGGTGATGGCTGACAAAACTTGAAATCCTGGAGCTCTGGCACCTCAACAAGTCAGATCAAGGGCTCTCCTCCTGTTTGCATGTCCTTGGGGAGGAAGAGGCTTTGTAAATTTCAGGAACTTCTGAGACTTGTTAGCTGTTCACTTCCTAGTCTTAATCCCTTCCCTTCAGAATGGGATGTTTTCATTTGGAGAAAACTGCTCCACAAAAAATCCCTCCCCCAACTGTGGTTGGTCAAGCATCCTGGAAACTCCCTTCTTAGCTTTGATGTGATCAGAACCTAAGGACCCCCAAAGGAAGTGGCTGTGGCTCCTTGGCTGCCCACAGCCAGCACCTGGAGCAGTTCCTTGCACACAATGGAACCCACTAAAAAAACTGATATACCACACAGTACATAGACAAAGCAGTTGACCCTTGCATGACCTTCAGTGTGCATCCCCTACTTTGGGCATGAGGTGTCCCATCACTGGAGACAGTGGAGAGCTGATGAACAAGCAGTTGCCCATCTCTGCACATGCAAGGACTGGTTTTTCCTCACAGATTCCCTCATGGGGGACTCAAAGGACTTTTATTGTGGCATCACTTCAGATTGGTGATTTGAGTTCCTTTTATTGTGGCATAACTTCAACCTCTAGGAACTATAAAAGTAGGCACAATCCTTTATTGTAGCAGCTCTAATAGCCTGCTACAAAGTCAAAACAAACGCACAAATTAACCCTCAAGAAACCTACTAGTCTAGCAAAGTAGATGATTCCAGAAAAGTAGCTCCACCCAGGAAGTTACTGGCCAATCATCAAATGTACATGTGTATTATACACAGTTCAAATTTTAGTTCTTTAGGCTACTGGGCATGGTAGCCCACACCTATAATCTCAGCACTTGGAAGGCAGAGCTCTGTGAATTCCCAGAAAGCCAGGACTACTTAGCAAGACTCTGTCTCAAAAATTAATACATATAACTTCCAGTGCCCTGTAGCCAGAAGGGTGCCAGGGGTGAGCCCAATAGGAAACATGCCCTTAACTGCTCAACGTTTTTAAGAACAGGGAGTGAACTGGAAAAAGTTGAGTCTTGGGAATTGGCCTTTCATGCTCCCCCAATGAGTCCCTGCTGATGAAACAGTCAGGTTGTCCTCCAGTTTGGGGAGGGAGTGCCAAAAAGTTTTTCTGGAATATCATCACGGTGAGAGCAGCCATTCCTCACCCGAGAAGGGAGCGTCCTGTCCCCCTCCATCCTCCGCCCCCCACGGCAATCTTTTCTCTCTTCTTTACAGCCCTAACTTTCAGGGAGCCAGCTAGAGGATGGAGGAAGGACACTTGGAAGGCACAGCCAGGATAGCATGAATGCAGTGTTTGAAGGTGCCCCTGAGGGTGCTCCAGACACAAGACTGGGTAGAAACACTGGGTACATTAGTGACCTTCTCAAAGGCAGTTTCCAGAACTGCAGCCAGGGACTATCTGTGGGGCATGGGATTAGTCAGCCTACATAGAATTCCATTCTAGACCTTCAGAACCATCCAAGTAGCTGTCTAAGAGATAGATACATAAAACATGCTAATTCTTAAGACCCTTTTCTATCTAGACACCTCCACTGGGGAACCCTCGGGGAAAGTCCAAGGCGCCCGAGCAAGGGAGGAAGTAAGTTGGGATTCTTTGGGGGTTATCTTGTGGCCAGTCCTCATCTAGCAGCCTGCCCCCGGGGGATGAGAGCCCTCAGGAAGCTTGGGGACATCCAACGCGCGCACACAGGCACACAGCGCAAGGAGACCATGAGAACCATCTGCACTGAGTTCCTGAACTCTGGAACTGAAGTGGCAGCACCCAAGCACCCCTTGTCCAGGAACCCCCGCAGGCGGGAGGCGGGGTCTGGGGCGGGGCGTCTTCTGGGCGGGGCCTCGGAGGGGCGGGACCTAGCGGTCTATAAAGAGTGCGGAGCGCGGCGCGCGCCCGGTCTAAGCGAGCGCGCCCCTGCTTCTAAGCGGTCGGGACTCTCGTGCTTTCCGCTAGGCCTCCAGCCCTTTTCTACTCCGCGTCTCGCTCGCTCTCCACTCCCCAGTTCCCGGGCCTGCCAGCGTCCCTGGCCACCTGCCAGCCCCGAACCCCAGTCCTGCGTCCCCAGACTGCCCGCTCCAACACCAACGCAAGCTCCGCAGGCCGCGCGCCGCCATGGGGGTGGAGGGCTGCACCAAATGCATCAAATACCTGCTCTTCGTTTTCAATTTCGTCTTCTGGGTGAGCAGCCACTGGGAACTGGGGACTGGCGAACAGTCGGCGGTCAGGGTGGGCAGTGCGCTAGGCCCAATTGAGAGGGCGCAGCGCGGCATTGAAGTTGCGGCGCCACCTGTGGGCTCCGTGCGCCGGCCTGGGGCCTGGCGCCCCTCGCCAGTGGGGTTGGGGCCAGGAGCTGAGCTTCCAGGCCTCTGCTCGAGGGTCTTCTGGGCTGCGGAATTAGGGGTTCGCTGGCCTGTCGCCTTTGAGTGCTAGGAACCAATGCAAAGATCTGCGGGTTAGAGCCACGTAACCCGGAGCCTTCAGCTGTGGAGGGGGTGTAAGCACCCTCTTGAACGCTGTTTTGGGGACCATCCTGCTTCGCGAGCACTGAGGGGGCTCGAGAAGGGCGGGATCTTGGCGCCCCGCCCCCATGATCTCATCGTAGCCACCGCCCCTGGATGGGCGGCCTCGAAATGGTGGGGGCACACTCCGTACTTGCCTTGGAGACGTCCACCCCACTATTATTTCACCCTACTATTATTTCACCCTTACTTGCCCTCCAGCTTGGTATTGACACCCAGGGAGGCTCGAGCTCTGGGCCTAGAGAAGGACAGGGTGGCCCGCGTGCGCTGCGCAGCATGCCCCAGTTCCTGCCCACCCCGCTGCTGCCCCTCCTCCTTGTCTGTCGTCTCCCGCACAGATTACAGCCCCTGGACTGGCCCTTAAGGTTCTGTGGAGGCTTTTGAGAGAAGAGGGGTGTGCAGTTCTGAGTTGGCGCAGACCAGAGTAATGCAAAGATCTGGAGTCTACACAAATCAGGGGCTTGAGATCTTTTCAGACATAACTGGGCTCTCCACTTTGGAAAGAGGTGCACACCCATTTGGTCATCTTGGAATGGAGACTTGGTTATAGGAAGGTCTCTAGGGGTCCGTTGGTCCTGTCTTTATTGCTGGGGAGTGACCATTGGTGGTGTGTGTTGCTTTCCATTTCCTGACTGGCTTGAGAATGAGGAGTGGTAGAGTCTATCAGACTTTCCTGCAGGGATTTGAGTGGGCAGTGCTGGCCATCCCCCACCCCCCCCCCCGCGCAGTGCACAGACTGCTCTTCCCTCCATCCTCCTTTTTCCCATGAAGAAATGAGGTTCCGTGGAAACAGTCTGTCTCTAAAGTTGAAGAGCGAACTTGTAAGATGGCCCCTAGAGTGAGTGTGTAGGACAGGGGACACCTGTTTCCTATCTTGGACTGCTGAAGCTCCAAGGGTGGGTCAGGGTGGGGTAGGGAGCAATAAGACGTTGGGGATGGGCAGAGACTGGACTGAACTCAGCTGGGGCTATGCTGTATGACCTACTGAGGAGACCCTGGTTGTCAGTCACAGTGACCCCAGGGAACAGCATGGGTGATGGGGTTAATCTTTCTCTGTCCAGGCATGCCCTGGGGTCGTGGCTGGGTAGCTGTGTTGGTTAGTGGTGCCTTCTCTGAGCTGTGCAAGGAGTTAAATACACTCAGGAAGTCCTTCCGCTGACCCTTGAGCTCCAGATGTGGGATGTTAGGAACCTGCAGGGTATTTCTCTTTTGGCCCACCCACCTGATCAAGCTGGTAGCCCCTCAGTCTCCCTGGAGAGCTAGGTAGGGCTGGGTGAGGCTGATTGTTTCCCAGGCAGCTGGGGTGGAGTCCCAACATATCCCTGGTGGGTATTCTGTATTGAAGCTCCAGGAAACTGAAACGTCCTGCTCCCAGAGGCCTGCTTACTGACTGCAGAACAGTGCAAACCATACCCTTTCACAATCCCATGGACCTCTCCTCCCCACCCATGTTGGCCTCCACAGTGGTCAGGGATCTGGGGCAGAGCCAGACCACAACTGGCGAACAGCACCCTGGCAGAGGGGCTTCCTCTGTGCCTTGTGTGGCAAGGCTTGTCCTGTGGCTGATAGTTTCCTGATGCCATGAAGTTGAACGTTTGGGGAGCCCCACCCCACTGCTCTGGTTCTCAGCCTCCACTTCCTCCCTCTAAAGCGAGAGTTCCTGGGGTCTCTCTCTCTCCTGGGATTGTGGGCAGACTAGCTAATGCACTCCAGAGCGGAGCAAGGGGCTTGGCATAAAAGGAAGCTCAGGAAATGGATGCTGGGCACAGTGTCCAACAGGGAGTTGGGCCAAGGAGAGCTGAGTAATGGTGTAAGAGGTGCCTGGGGAGGGGGCTGAGAGGTCCTGTGGGCCCATGATGGGTATGGAGGCTAAGGGTTCTAGAAGTGAGCTTTGGTTGACAGTAAATGTCTCAATGGGCACTTTTTAAAATTTCCAGCTTACAGATTAAAGTGGCTTTTCTGTTGGAGGGGATATCCCAAGCGCCCTAGACTGCATACTCATGCTCTTGTGCCCAGCAGTCCTCCTTTAAGACCCACACTTGACCTATCTTGTTCAGAGCCTACTTTGGGACCATCAGAGTTTTGGACTGCCAGGATCCATGGGACAAGACACAAACCTGAAAGATGAGCAGTGAGCAAATTCAGCAGAGGCCATGTTAAGATGCTCTTAGAAGCTGGGTGGATACCTGTCCTCTGAGACAGGTCTGGGGTAGAGGGACCCATCTCCTGAATCCTGCTGAGAGTAGGGCAGGAGAGTAGGGGATGGTGTCCCTGTTTATCACCCTGCCAGCCTATGTCCTGGGATGGGCTTGTAGGAGGTTAGTGTGATAATAACTTCATAGGTATAGTGGGATAAGCGGGGGAGGCCACCGGTCCTCACTGGAATGGGAGCTGTGTTCCTTGCCCAGAACTGGCTGCTCCTCCAGCCTAAGGCTGCTTGGTGGCCCCCTTCCGGTGGCCCAGCCAGCCAGCCCCACCACAAAAGGCTGATTACAGCCTTAACTGGCATTTAATTCTCCAGACGGCACATGACTGTCTGTCACTTAGCTGTCTGCTTTCTTCCTTCCGGCAGAGGGGCTGCAATCCCTGTGGGCTCAGGGTGGAATGAGGACTTCCTGTGCCTCGGTTCACCTGTGGGAGAGCAGACTTCCCTTGTTCCCCCAGGCTGTGAGCTTACCCGACTTTGGGGAAGACTGGGCTGCCCGGGAAGGGGAAATCTGTGGTCAGTCCCTGGGCTGGCTTCAAAGAAGGATGTCTGCGCAGTGGAGAGCACAGAATTGGAGTAAAGAAATGGGAAGCCTTCTGGCAGCCTTTGCTCTGGTTCTCACACACGGCTACCTCATGATAAGAGCCCTCACCCTATTCTTTCTGGACCCTTCAGGCTTTCTCTTAGCGCCTCCCCCTAGTTCAGTCTTGTTTCCTCAAATGGAGCGTCTGCTGCTCCGGGAGGTTCACCAACAGCTGCCAGCCTGGATTGCAGCACCCAGAGTCCAGCAAGGGGAGGAACCTCGGTCATAAAATCAATAGGCTTAGAGTCCAGGTGCCCCAGGGAGATAGTAGGCAGTCATGCTTGCACACAGGAGAGGGCTCAGGTGGGGGTAGGGTGGGGTGGAGATGTGGGGAAGTCCAGGTGCCAGTGGCTCTGGCCCTGAAACCAGGTAGGATATACTGTGAGTGCCAGGTGTCCCTGAGGCTCTATAGGTATCTCTTTTGTTTCTAAGACTCTTGCTAGAGAACCAGATGTCCCGAAAACTGGCCTTTGGTGGCCTTCAACTGTTAAGTAGGATGTACTGTGACCTGGCATGCCAGTAGCCTTCCAGGAACCTTTTGACTGTAACCTGCCACCCCCCCCCCCCCCCCCCAGTACCTTCCCTACAGTACATAGGCACACACTATGCCTTTCAAAACCATTTGGGTTCCTCTGGGGGACTCTACCTTTTGGGAAGCGGTTCACAAGGGATTAACCAGTGATCAACTGGTGATCGGAATCCTGCGCTGGCTGCCAAAGTAACTACAAGGGGTGTACAAGGAAAGAGGGCACCTGCTTTCCTGCGTGTGAAGTCTGGGGAGGGCTGCAGGGTTGGGAGTGCAGGGAAGTCCGTTAGAACCCAGGTGCCCAGGATTTTATTATAGCTCTAATTTACCGTGAGTTCGTAATCCAGGCCAAGAGCCAGGCAGTTAGGGCAGAAGGGTGATAGGCCCCCCAGTTTGCTGTGCTTCCTTTGTGCTATCTCTCAGATCACTCCACACTTTATGTCAGCTTGGGTCATTAGCACTTTTCTCAGGGTGGGTCTGTGGCATCTGTGACTTGTTTACCTGTGGTCAGGCATCAATGTTGGCTCTGTACTGCAGCTTAGCAGTAAGGTCCCAGTGGTATTTAAAGGTGTCTGGTGTGGCAGGTGCAGGAATGAGGAAGCCCAGGTCACCTGTACTCCTGAAATTCTATCCCAGAGTTCTGGAGTGGGACCCAGTGTGGCAAGGGCTTAGGGTGTGTGACAAGCACATACTGTAGCTGCCACCCACCCACTAATACTTACCCACCCTCTTACAACTTCCCTTGGCTAAAAGTCCCCATCCTAGGGGCATGGTCTAGCCTTGGGCCCTAGTAACAGTCTTCCCTGTACTCTAGAGACTATGGTAACCTAAAGTAGCACTCTGCTGGGCTGCTCTCAGACCCTGGCGAGTGATGAGAGGTCTGAGGTTTTCAAGCAACTAACTGTCATGTGAGGAAGTGGTGGGATGGGGTAAAACTGTACCCCACTCTGCCACCTCGTCCCATAGTCAGAGTGGGCTGTAAGACTGTGCCAGCCCCACAGCTTTGCCCTGGGACATGGTTGGGCCAGAGGACCATGCCTAGCCTGGTGCAGATGGGTGCTTCTTGGTACTGCTGGTGGCAACACCATAGCTACATAGACCTGTTCTACCCACTCTTTCGTCCCCTGCCTCCTTTTGTGCTTCTAAGTGGGTACCAGTCCCACCTGAGCTTTCTCTGAAGCAAACAGCCTGGCCTCCCTGCCACCTCTGCTGTTGTCATCTCTGGCCAATCACTGTGACCATCTGGGTCCACACAGTCTCCCTTCAGGGTCTCATGAGACCCTGGCCTTCCTAGAGGAGGGCAGGTGTAGAGTGGGCGGGGAAAGCTCCTGCCAGCTTCTCTGGCTGAGGAACCTTATAGCCTGGACCTGGAAAAGGCAGAGCTGGGATGGCCCAGCCTAGTCTCCTGTACCTCAAGACAACAGTGTATCCTCCATGGCCCTGCCCCCTCCCCAGCCTGTCAGTTGGGCCCCAGAGCTAAGCTTTTGCTTTGCCACCTATTTTTAGACGTTAGGACAGTGGCTTCCTGAGGCGAGGGGCCTGTGAAAGGAACCATGCTTCCTGGCCAAGGCAAGGATTCCTGCCCCTCTCTTCAGCTTCCTTCCTGAGCTTCATTTGGTGAACTGCAAATCTTTACCTCCTAGGAAGGCCTGAGCAGGATCCTATATCTCTCAGAGAGGAATCTGGCCTTGTCCTCATCCTCCATGGCCTGACCAGGCCCTGTCCTCCTGTTGTGCCTGAGCACAGGGACCCAGGTGGGAGGGCAGCACCTAAATCAGCTCTTTCCATTGGCCTCTTCATCTTGCCCTTTCCCCGGCTCCTAAAACCTGCCCGATGGAGCCTCTTTACTCTGACTTATCCCAGCTGCCCAGGGAAGCCTTTTGCCCCCCTGCCTTTGATCTTCACAGTCTCTGCCATCACCAGGGCGGTTCCTAGACCCTCAGCACCTTCCAGTTGCTTAGGTGGACAGACGCTTTCTGATGCACCTTCCGTTGTGCACCATGTACCTAGGAGGCATGGAGCAAGCCCCAACCTCGTCTGCCTCTGCCCTTGACTCTTCTTCCAAGATGCAAAAGGTCACCTAAAGCAACAAGCTGATGTTACAGTCAGCCTTCCGAAACATGTGGGGTGTCTGGGGTGACCATTCAGACCTACCAGGCTGGTGACAGGAGCTCTGTCCCTTCCTGGTGGGGTACGTATGCCCCCATCTGAGGTCTGGCCCAGGGCTGGCAATGGGCAGCTAACACAGAATAGAATGCTGCCCCAGGCCTGTTCCCTTTCAGTCACTTCTGGGAAACCACAAGACCAGCCGGGCAGGGACCCAGCGTGCTTGGCAGCTCCTCATCCTGTTAAAGTTTGAGTCTGTTATGTGTTAGTCTTCAAGGAGGAGGAAGCAACATAATCCTGTAGAGAGTCATGAATGCGTTCTTCTGTGCTGTGGAAGGCGCTCCAGGAACCTGGGCTTGCCACCTGGGTGCTTCCCACCCCCACCCCTAAGCAGAAGGTATCTTAGGCTGTAGAAGCAGGTGGTGGACCCACCTGGGAAGAGAAGCTTTGGGCAGAGGCATCTTTGGCCCCTGAGTGGATGCATGAAGAAATCCCAGGTTCGTTGGTAAGGTTCATTGTGGATCACCTCCTCAGCTCTAGCAAGAGCTAAATACAGTGACGTCATATGTTGCAGCCTGTGTGTGTTACTCCCCCTACTAACAAATGAAGGTGAGGATGGAGGAGGTTGAGATGGGCCTGAAGTCCCCCAGCTCAGATATGACACAGCTAGAGGTTTGGGACACCCTTAACCTTACCTGTGCCTCTGTCCAATGGCACCGCTCCATATTTCCTTTGACACTGGACTGGTAGTTCTTTAATGGTGTGAGTGTTGCCCAGTTTTTGCAGATCATTCTAAACTATGGTTCTGTAGACAAGATATGTGCCTCTCGGATTGCTGCTAGTCACTGTGACACCCCACAGGCCTGGGGAATGTGCTTGAGCACAGCCTCTGACCTAGAGACGGGACTGAAGCTGGGGTTAAATAATAGTTTTCTGTAGCTGTGACTGACATATGACATAGCCAGCATTTACACCCCGTGAAACTGTTAGCACCATCGGAAGAGTGAATGCCCAGAGCATCCTAGGGCCCTTTGTGGTCCCTTCCATTACTGCTCCCCCCAGCACTTCTACTGGGTTATCACTGCACTACCTTGAATGAACTTTGAATTCTGCTTTCATATGAACAGAGTCCGGAGGCACCAACTGCTTCATCCCCGATGGGCCCCTTTCACTCAGCACCTTGACCCGGCCGCCTTGCGATCTTGTGGGTCTGTCTTCTCCTTGTGATGGACCCAGCGCCTGTCCTTTAATCGATCAGGAGACATATGGACTGCTCTATGCTGAGCTGTAACAGGGAAGCTTGAGAAACATACACACCTGCGTGTAAAGCCTGAGGCGCTAAGCTGGCTGGTGAGGAGGAGGCGCCAGCTAACTTTCTCAGAAACGACAAACTGCCCGCCGGTGCAGTAGCACCACGCCACCACTCCTCACCCCACCCCGCCACACCCAGTGGCAATTTGGGCTTAGTGGGTAGATTGGTAATCTCCCTGTGGCTCTTTGGAGCCTCATGATGTCAGAATGGTAGTCCCACTCTATACTTGAGGGCCCTATCTCGGTGGATGCATATCTCTTACCATGGAGTCTTAGAAGTCCCTTGTCTGTTTTGGTCATGTGAGATAGTTACATTTTGAAGCTAAGGTTCGTTTCCAGCCTCTTACTACTTGAAGACCCCCGTCCCACCTTCCTGGGCCCCATCATTTTCCTAGCACTTCCTCTACTCCAACCTAGAGCAGTGGGTGGAGGGTCACTTTGCTGGAGGCAGCCAGCCAATGCCTGGCATTCCTTCCTTGCCCTCTCCCACTCATCTCTGGTTGACTCTGAGACAATGGATGAGTGGCCAAGTCTCCCATTCCCCCCTGCCTCACCTACCCCCTAACCCCACTTCAGACCTGTCAGGTAACATGAAAGACTGAAGCCCAGAGACTTCTCTGAAGTCAGCTTCCTGACCCCACCTCTTCCATAAAGCCTGGCTGTAAGTGGTGGCTTGGCCAGACACCCACAATAGCAGGCTTTGGGGCTGGACTGGATATCATCCATTACCCACTTCTGCCCCCAGGTCACAGGGAATATTCTCTATCAGTAGAGAAGTCCGAGTCTGGCATGGTTGCATGCCCATCTGTTTACAGGTAAGCACACAGACTGAGGAAGGCAAGGTGACCCACCAGCTGCCCCTCAACTTCTGTAACTATTGGGGATTTGTTACCATGGGGTCTTTTGACTATAGAGGGAAGCATGGGGAGCAGGCATGTCACCTAGTCCTTCTGCTCTGGAACATCTCAGAGCGACCTCTGGACCAGTTCTCAAACAAAATATATGACGTTTCAAAGCTGCAAAGGAAGCCAGGTTACCAGGGCAACTCAGGCCGATCACCTCCTCCTCTCATGCCAGTTTAAGAGGAGTGTTGCCTGTTATGGCCTCCTGCCAGGCCCTACCCTCCTGCCTCTGTTGCCCCAGGCTGAAGGCTAGCCTCTTAAGGGTGTCTAGGCACAGAGCTGCCACTGTAAGGCTCTAGAAGCTCTGGGGATCCCCAGCATCACTAGGACCTTTGCATATAAGGGCACTCTCAGGGTCCCAGCTTTCATGTCATTTGTAGGTTGGGCACAGTGTGGCTTTGATTGCTGTACCACAGACCCTGTTCTCTCAGGCTTTGGTAGAGGTTGAGGGCTCATCCCTCCTTAACCAGAGTGTGAAAACTGAATTAAAACTTACAGAAGAAGCTAAGAAACCACAGGACCCATGGGATGAGGGTACGAGGTGATGGTGTTCTGCAGAAAGTGGCCCCTAGCTTCCTCTCTGAGGGCTAGGCAGAGGACAGGATCCTAGGGTAGAAGGAGGTAGGTAGGTCCCACAGGTCCTCTTTCCAGAACCAGTCTGCTTGGGGATTCACAGGATCTTTCTTGAGCTTGTGTTTTGATCTGGATCCCCAGAGAAGGAAGTGGGCCACCTGGTTAGTGCTTTTTTTTTTTTTTTTTTTTTTTTTTATTTTTTAAATCAGGCCCAGGTTTTGGTTTTTGTTTCCTGTTTGTGCTGGGCAGATCCATTGACCCCTGCAAGAAGAGGATGCCTAGAAATGGGGAAGAGACTGCCTCTTCCTTGGTCTGTCCTGAGGGCCACCTCCTACTTCCAGATGCTCTATTATAGGGCTTCACACAAATTCATGGTAGGAGGTGCCCTGCTATTTCCCCCGTGGGGCCTGATGACATTACATTGTCACCCCTCTTCTCCTGGCAGGGAGAACTTGGCATCCCCACCACAGGGTTCCCAGTACCCTGTCTGTGGCAATCCCTAAGCAATCTCAGAACTATTAGGACAGGATACCTCTGCTACACTTCTCAGATAAACATATTGCATGGTTGACCAATCTGGAACTTGAGATGAGTAGAAAAAGTGGTTTTGTTTTGGAAACAAGGTCTCTTATAGCCCAGGTTCATCTCAAACTCAACATCATCCTCCTGCTTCCCGTCTCTCAAGTGATACCAGGCATGCACCACCAAACCCAGTATATGTGTTACTGGGGATGGAACCCAGGGTTCCCTACATGCTAAAGCACTCCTATCGACGGAGCCACATTTTCATCACAAACCTTCTTGTATTTGTCATGCTGTGTTGGGGTACACTTGAACTCTGTTCTGTAGTCACAGCTCAGAGAAGCTTGTGGGCTGCAGGGCCCCAGTGGACAGTGGCTCAGACAATGGACAGACCCCCACAACTAGAAACGATGGCTCTACATGATAATTGTGGTAGGATTCTGTCGCCCCACAGTGCTCTGGCCTCTGTATGACATTGTTCCTGGTTTTTTTCCCAGCTGGCTGGAGGCGTGATCCTCGGTGTGGCTCTGTGGTTGCGCCACGACCCACAGACCACCAGTCTGCTCTACCTGGAACTGGGAGACAGACCAGCACCCAGCACCTTCTATGTCGGTGAGTAATAAGGAGACAGGGTCTAGTCACAAGCTGAGAACAGTCAGGGTGGGCTTCCAGGAGGAGCCTAAGGGTCTTGAGTTTGGTGGGTAGGGCATTAGAACTGGCAGTGGCCTAGGCCTAGTATGTGCTGGGCAGGGAGGCTGCCCACAAGAGGGGCTCTTAAGACTAGAAAGTTCACTTGGGTATAGTGCTGCTAGGGACCCCACAGATTTAAGACTAGGCTAGGCAGAAGGAAAGCAGCTGGGTGGGGCAGGAGCCTTGTGAGACCTTACTTATTTTAACATGTGCATTTCTGGTGAACCTCCCTGAGCAGGGTGGGGCTGGATGCCTGGGCTAGCAACAGCTGAGCTCCCAGGAGTCCTAAGTTGGGGAGGGCTGGAGACTGGGCAGTCGGTAGATGACTCAGATGCTCCCCCCACCCCCAGCACACAGGCCAGACTGCTACACCTGCCTTATTAGGCTGCCTGTGGGGGACTGAGCACCCTCCCTCCCAAGCAGGGAAGGCAGAAAGAGGGATGCTGTGCTGTTATGCTATGCTACGCTAGGCTATGCTGTGCTCAGGGAGGCAACTCTCCTCCTTTCTCTCTGGGAGGGGGACTTGGCACCCTGGGAACTCCAGAAGTCTTTGGAGACATTTCTGCCTTTTTACAGTTCCTAGCACACATCAGGAATTGAGGTGGATTCTCCCTCTTGTGTGGAGCCTAGAAGGGGCTTGGGAGACATGCTTGATGGCTGGGGTGGTGGGGTGGTGTCAGGAGGTCAGAAAAAATCAGTATTCTCCCCTTCTACCCTCGTGTACCAGGGCAGCCAAGGGCTCTGGTCACACTGTGGTTGGCTGCTTTTCCTTCCTCTCTGTACTCTCCCCACAGCCTTCCCACAAGTGGAATGGTCAGATTAGGGTCCAGGCAATGTACAGGGAAGGGGCAGAACCTGGTCTCCTTTGAGGAAAGCCATTAGGAATAGTAGTTTGCAGGTCTGGGTGTTAGTGGGGAATGTCCTACAAAGCTATTCCTCCTTGGATCTGGTGCCTTCAGAGGAAAAGGATGCCCACCAGCTCACATGGAGACTGCAGCCTGTTGTGTAGCAACTGGTGTGGGCATCTTCACAGGGGTGATCCGGGCATCAGAGACAGGAGGAGTACTGACCGGTGAAGGACTCTTCCTGCCCCTGGGCCTTCCACAACGTGAATGTTGTGAGGCTGGGCCAAAGCTCCCACTTTGCACTGATAGAAGGAGAGGCTGGGTACCCTGCAGAGCCCAGATAGGGTGGCCTAGGAAGCAGGCAGGTCTCTGTCCTCATGTTGTCACCATAGTCTACATCAGGGTCCAGCTCCAGAGCTGCTCAGTCACCTGCCTTTCTGTGGTCATGGCCTCCTGGGCACTGAGGAAATAGCCTCAGGCCCTGAACTATGCGGCAGGTTGGGCACTGAGCAGCAAGGCGCATGGCCTATGGGTAGGAGCTACTCTGGCTACTATCTCCCTGCTCATTTTGAATTGGCTTTCTGGAGCCCTCCACTGCCCCTGAACTGAGCCCTGCTGGGAACAGATGTGGCCCTGACAAAGGCACTTTGTCTAGTTCTTAGGAGAGTTGGTTAGGGGCTTAGTTAGCTGTTGGTCTGGGGGTGAATGCCCAGGACGCCCCATGCTGGGTGAGTGTGAAGGCAAGGGCAGGCTATGCCAGTAGCCAACTCCAGGCACCTCATCTCAGGCACACTGGTGTATAGCCGTTCTGCTCGCCTAACTCTGAGGACAGGAACCTGTGGGCGGGGCGGCTGGACGGCTGACAGAAGGACAGGGGCAGCCTGAGCAGAGCACTTAGCACCTGTCACATACACTGGCTGGGCTGTGAATATACAGGGGAGCACTACAGACTATACCCCAGGGCCTTCAGATGGGGCATGTGCTAGGCCTAGAAGGGTCTGTAGGCAGTCTTGGGACAGCACCTGTGTTAGGTACCCTGTGTCCATCCCCCTGCTGAGCCTGATGTAGTGACAGAGAGCCTACTTCATCTTGAAGTTGAGGTTTCGGGACCTAAGGACGGTGGTCCGGTTTAAGTTTCTCTGCCTGTCTGGAAGCCAGTTGCTAGGCAGCCCTGGTGGGAGGCTTTCCTTGGACCAGATGTGTTTAGTGAGGTCAAAGGAAACCAGGCCCATGATCTGGCCTGTTTCTAAGCCTGGCAGTAGGTCCTGGCTATGGCGCCTTCGCCCCTGGGCTGGCCAGGCAGGGGACAATGGGCCTGGCTTTGTGCAAGGAAGCTTGGACTGCCTGGCAGTGTTGCCGTGGAGACTGGGGGATGGGCTGCGTCTGCTGAGGGACCAAGAGCTGGAGGGCTCTTCAGAGACACAGTGGTCTTTCTCAGGGCCTGAGGGGTACTGTGAGCACTGAAACAGGGACATGGCCCAACTGGTGCCTCTTGGGTTCCAGTGCTCCCCTGTATATTCACAGCCCAGCCAGTGTATGTGACAGGTGCTAAGTGCTCTGCTCAGGCTGCCCCTGTCCTTCTGTCAGCCGTCCAGCCGCCCCGCCCACAGGTTCCTGTCCTTAGAGTTAGGCGAGCAGAACGGCTATACACCGGTGTGCCTGAGATGAGGTGCCTGGAGTTGGCTACTGGCATAGCCTGCCCTTGCCTTCACACTCACCCAGCACGGGGCATCCTGGGCATCCACTCCCAGACCAACAGCTGAACCCAAGCTGCTTCCCCATTTCATGCACCAAGATGGGTAGTCCATCTCAGCCCTCTATAGTGAGTGCTAAGAGTTCCTATTCTCGAGTGCAAGTAGTGGGGGACCAGCTACAGGGCAGCACATACCTGTGAAGTACAGATCACCTGTGTCCTCTGGACACTGAATTGCTTTTTATCCTCTGGTGGCAGTGGCAGTTCCTCTAGCAGGACACTGAAGCACAAAAATCTCACATTGCCAAACCCTGCCTGTTGTGGGTGTGGGTGCCCCAGACGCTTCTGTCTCAAACAGTGATGCATGCAGCCTGCTCACTCAGTTCTTCCCCCTCTCCAGGCATCTACATTCTCATTGCTGTGGGAGCTGTGATGATGTTTGTGGGCTTCCTGGGGTGCTATGGAGCCATCCAGGAGTCCCAGTGCCTGCTGGGAACGGTAAGTAGGAAGGGCTGCAGGGCTGGGGAGTAGGGTGTCTGACAACCTCTGTCTTCCCCAAGGTTTTGGTCTTTCTCTTTGATTTCTATTGAGTCTGACTCTGAAGACTCATATTGACAGAGGGAGTTTCTCTTTAGAAAAGCATAACCTCCAGAGGGGTATCTTACCCCAGAAGCCAGCCTTAGAGGTCCTGGCCACAGTAGCTACTGGTGGAGCCAAGTCCCAGGTATGTCTTCTAGAGCTTGGCTAGCCAGTATCAAAATCTTGGGAAGCTGAAGCACACTTCATAGTTTAATCTTCCTGTGTTTGTACCATAAAGGGGGTAAGGAAACTGAGGTCAAGGTTGGGGGGCATATTGCTACATGTGTCTCTCTGAAGGCTGTGGACACTTAGATTTGTCAACTGCATCTCCTATACCAGCTGCATCCTGCAAAGCAGGGAGCAGGGTGAAGCCATGAGAACTTAGGCATCTGGGTGCCGAGCTGCATCCTTCGTCTTTCATGGTTCTGTGTGGTTCATTAATCAGGACATGGTTGATGAATATGATCATCCCCCTTGGCACATAGTTGTTGATCGTGTGGGCACACATAGAGGACCATGCTGAGATTGCTGGTCAAAGCTCTGACCTCTACTTTCCCCCTAGTTCTTCACCTGCCTTGTGATCCTGTTTGCCTGTGAGGTGGCTGCTGGCATCTGGGGCTTCGTAAACAAAGACCAGGTGAGCCTAGGTTCACTGGGGAGGGAGATATGCCCTTTGCTCAGGCAGCAGGTGTGGACTACTCTGAGCCCATGGGTTAGAGGGTGCTTTTCAAATTTTGGTTCTTGCTGGTAGAAGGGTCTTGGGAGCTCAACAGAAGAGGTGGCATCAGGGGAAGCCGAGCGCTCTTGATGGTAGTCCCTGTGTTTCATGTGACTGTGGTTCTCTCCAGATCGCCAAGGATGTGAAGCAGTTCTATGACCAGGCCCTTCAACAGGCTGTGGTGGATGATGAAGCCAATAACGCCAAGACTGTGGTGAAGACCTTCCATGAGACGGTACAACTAGGCTGGAGCGGGGAGGGCAGGTTGTAGGAGTTTTAGCATGTATGATCTATGGAGATGAGTCCTGTCTTCCCAGACCTCAGAAACAGGACAGGGCAGGGCTAAGGTTCTCCTCTGATTTGTAGGTCCCCAGGTAGGAACCTAATGGGCCTCATTTGTCCAGGGCTTTGGAGGAACAGGGTTCTTGAGTAATGTGACAAATAGAGCAGGCCAGCTCCCAGATGTTTTTGGATGTGATGATGTGCCATGTGCCATAACTTTCTCTTGTCTCCTGAAGCTCCTAAACTGATAGTGATACTCTTGGTCTCTGCAGCTCAACTGCTGTGGCTCCAACGCACTGACCGCGCTGACCACCTCTATAATAAGGAATAGCCTGTGTCCCGCAGGCACCAACGCATTCAGCGCCCTTTGGAAGGTGACATGGAGTGGGAGTGGGCATCATATCCTGGGTGGTAGGTAGGTGGTGACTGTGGCCAACCAGGAAGATCAGCCCTTCAAGCAGGGCATCAGAGAGGCATCTCAGGGAGTGGGGTGCTAGGTCCTGAGAGCTTGGGTTTGCCCCTGCAATATCCTGGGAAATGGCTCTCTTGAGTGGTCCCTTATACATACTAGTGACCGTAGGGTACTAGTGAGGTCAGAAGCACTACCCTGTAATAAAGAAGGCCAGCAGGTCCATGTGTTTTATTTTTGGATGGAAGATAACCTGTGGGACATAAGCCCCACCTCTGAGTATGGTGGTGGCTGTGACTTAGCCACTCACTGTTACCACCCTCTGGCCATCCCTGCAGGAGGACTGCCATCAGAAAATTGATGAGCTCTTTTCTGGGAAGCTGTACCTCATTGGTATTGCGGCCATCGTGGTAGCCGTCATCATGGTGAGCACAGGGCCTGTTTGGTGGGTGAGTGCCACCCCTCCCAAGCAAGGTCCTAGGTGCTGACAATGCCCCTCTCTCCCGCAGATCTTCGAGATGATTCTGAGCATGGTGCTGTGCTGTGGCATCCGGAACAGCTCTGTGTACTGAGGTCCTTCACTCTGTACCATGGGGACCCGACAGTGCCCTGCCCCTGAGTGACCAGAGACCTCCTGGGGGGCCATGGCCTGTGTATATATTTCTGTATTACTCTGCTACACTTAGCCTTTGAGGGTTTGTTTTTTTTTTTCCGTTCTGAACTTTTCCTGTTACCTTTTGGGGGCTGACATCACACATAGGTGGCGTATGTGGGGATATAGGGGTGGGGCTGGCCCTGGCTTACAGGGCCCTGTTCCAGGACCCCTGGGGAGCTCTGCCTGCTGAGCCAAACCTCCATAGCTACTTGCACAGAGGCTATGTAGCTGAGTTAGAGGGCCATGTCCACCCACTCTGCCCACTGTGGGTCACGTTGCTTACATCTTTTTAATCCCTGTCCCTTTCCTGCCCCCATTTCAAAAGCTGGGTTTGTAAGCACTCTTATGCCTTCGATGCACCTATTCTTTCTAACGTGTCACCTTCAACTGTAATTACATCTTGAAACAGTCATTTAATAAAGGAGGAGAAAATCAGGCATGCTAATGGGACTGCCAGACCTCTTCCTGAGCCAGTGGTGTTAGAGACCGGGCTAGCTCTGAACTTTGCCAGGCACAGGGTGAGCAGGTCCAAGAGAGGCTGTGGAACACAGTGGGAGGGAAGGGTTGGGACCCAGGGAGCACTTTATGTGAGTACTCCCTCGTTTCTATCTCCCTGTCCTAGGAACTCAGTGCTGACCTTATACCAGCCTTGACCTCATTTCCACTCATCTGTTGGCCATGCCAAGTCATTGCTGAGCAGGGTAGGCGGAGCCACACAGCAGGAAAATTCAGCACAGAATGTTGGGGATAGGCTACAAAAACACCCCACCCACCCCATACCCCTTTTGAGGGACCACACAGCAAAGGTTAGACCACTGCCCCATCCCTAGTATCCAGGTGCTTAGAAAATGTTCTACAGAGCTGGGTGGCTCTAGCCTGTGGTCTCAAGGAGTAATAGGCAAGATGGAAGCCCACTCAGCTCAGCCCTGTGAACTGAGGGTCAGGCTAAGCAACCTCCTGGGCACCAGCAGCTGCCACCACTACTGCCTTTTCTCCTTTGACTCCTGTCTGAGCCCTTCCCCCAGCCAGCTGGCACACTAAATTGGCCTCTAGGGGAGAGAAAGCCTGGCTAAGATCCAGATCCCAGCTCCTAGCAGCCTCCCTGTAGGCTGATTTGTCAGTGAACCCCAAGCTTGTACTAGGGCGTTCTGGTCTCGACCTCCCCCACCCCCGTACAAGCCTGTTCCCTGCTTGGGTAGGCTGCTGGTCTAAGGAACCCTTTCTACTCTTTATGTTGTGAAGCACGTGGCCGAGGCTGTTGAGAGGCCTGCAGCTAGGGAAGAAGGAGCACGAAGCAGCCCACTGTGTCCTCAGACCCTGGTCCCCAGGCATGCGAGAGGACAGCTCCAAGCCTGGAGCAGGATTATGTGCGGCTTTGAATAGTGGGGTCCCTGTCCAAGCACGGATAGGCAGAGCCCAGGGGAGCGGCCTCGAATCTCTGCAGCCCCGTCAACTAATCGACACTCCGGAGCCCACAACGTCTCTAGATTCCAATAGCCAACTGAGACTTTAGTCCCACCCCGCTCCAGAGAGCCAACGGAGCACAAGACCGGCACCACTTCCGGTCAGGAAACTAGTTGGCGCCCGCAGTGCGTGGTGACGCACTTCCTCCCTATAACGAACCCGGCTCAGGCGGGTTCCGACAGGCGGCGCTGGAGGCCTCAACCCTTTGCGACGGCCAGAGTGTTATGGGACTCGAGGCCCCTTGGCTCCGCCTCTTCCTCTTTCGTCAATTCCGGGTAGATTTCCGTGTCCGCTCCGGTCTTCGGTGATGTGCATACGTAAAGGTTACACCTCCTGTTGGGCATTGGTCCATTGCCTTCTGGGTGTTGTAGTTCCTTATGTACTAAAGTCGTGCCATTCAGACAGCCGGAGACTCGGTTTCCCAGAAAGCCGAGCGAAAGTGGGCAGGAACCACGGCCCTAATCCCGCGGTAGCCGCGGGACTCTACTGGGAAAGGCCGCTGGGTATTGCAACGTGCACGGAATGGTGAGCGTCGGCGTCCTTAGAACCGCGGGACTAGGCCAGTCCCCTGACGTCGCTTCCTCCGGACCTGGCTGGGTAGTCCTTGCGGTGGCGGTGTGTACCCGGAGAGGCTGTGCTCTCCTGATTTAAAGCCTGTCTCTAGCATCTCCCAGTGCGCATCCTTTATATGTCTGCACTGTTCTGCTCTCATGATTGACTCTCTTCCTTAACCCTATCTAACCTGCAGCTCCACAACTGTGCGCGTGTGGACACACTTTAGGCACTCAGCTTCGCGAGTCCGTCGCCCGCCTGCATGACCGGGCAGCGCCTGACTGTGAACAGAGGCTCCTACCACGTAGTGGAGGTGAAAGAGGGGAGCCTGAGAGGACACGGAGGGGGCGTGGCCTAAGTACACCCCTTACGGCGAAACTTGAGCTGTTTCGCTACAGGTGTGGGTGGGTCCCAGGTCGGCATGGCGGAGGCGGAGGCTGGCTTGGAGGCTGTGGAACACACCGAGGATGACACCCTGCCTTCTGACACCGTCTCCCTCAGCGACTCGGACTCGGACCTCAGCCTACCTAGTGGTGCCGAGGTGCAAGTCTTGTCCCCGGAGAGGCTTTCCGGCGAAGCCCAGGAGGATTCCGGCCCTGATGACCCTCCCTCACCCCCCACGGGTGTCCCCACCACCCCAGTCCAGCCGTTCCACCTCCGAGGCATGAGTTCCACCTTCTCCCAGCGCAGTCACAGCATCTTTGATTGTCTGGAGAGTGCAGCCCGGCAGGCACCGCCCTCTGCGTCCCAAACCAGTGTGACTGACAATGGCAGCTTCAAACGGCCTGTGACTCCCCCAAGTCAGACTCCGGCAAGGAACCTGAGCAGAGTGCATGAGAGCACTGGCCCAATCAGGGTACCTCCTGTGCCGGATTATGTGTCACATCCTGAGCGTTGGACCAAGTACAGTCTGGAAGATGTGGCTGAAGTCAGTGAGCAGAATAATCGTGCTGCTGCTCTGGCCTTCCTGGGCTCTCGCAACCAGGCATCCCCTACAGACTATGTACCCTCCTTCAACCAGGATCCCTCTAGCTGTGGGGAGGGGAGAGTGGTCTTTACCAAACCAGTACGAGGCAGTGAGACTAGGGCTGAGAGGAAGAGGATCCTAAAGAAGGTGGATGTGTCAAGTGCTGGGGGTGAGGCCTCTGTGGAGCTGGCCCATCTGGCTGGGCCTGAGGCTGAGGAGTGGAGTGGCCACCAGGGACTGCAAGAGGTAATGGTACCTTCAGGAACTGACCACCCTGGGTCCTCATCAGACCCCACAGTGATGGAGGCTGTTGGTTTCCATGGCAGCAAGAAGCGGAGCAGAGAACATTTCCGGAACAGGGACAGTAACCCTGAGGGGCCAGGGTCTGAGAGAGGCCCCTCAGTTTGACTACAGTGCTATCTCTCCACCTCCTCACCTGTCCAGCTCAGGTGGGAGGGAAGCTGTGATGTGCAACAGCCCTGGCTGGGAATGTGGGACCTTGGAGGCCCTTGTGCCCCAGTGTCCTGGGGTGGACAATAAAGGTTTGGGGTATGTCTTGGATTTTGTGGATTTTTCTGGGCCCCACTCAAAAGATCTGTCCTTGCCACCTGACTGCAGGCCTCCATCTACATCGGCCTCATTTTGCCTTCCCCACTCCAGTGGGAACTGTTGTGAAGGTTTGCCATAGTTGTTTTCTTTTGCCACTGGTGAATCTACCCAGAGGGACTGGGCTCATAACCATGCCCAGTTTTGTGCCCCCGATGGTGATGGATGAACATAATCTGCCCCCTGAAACCAGCACAGCCTCAGCACTAGGCCTGTGCAGATCAGTTTTAGGAAGAGGGTAGATTGAGTCAGCAAGGGAGGTTGGGCAGGTGTCCACCCAAACTAAAGAGCTGGTGCCCTGAGTGTATGTCTCCAGGACTTGTGACCTCTGTAGGACATTACTGATGATAGGTCATTTAGCTGGGGCTGAGCCCGGGAGGAAAAGAATGATGTGCCGGAAAGATACTGCATACCTGATGTGGAGGCCAGGGTCTTGAACCAAGCTAGCTAGCCTGTCCTGCCAAGTACCAAGTCTGCCCTAGCCTCTGTAGTCCCTATTCCAGGACTCGAGTGTCCCCCAAAAGGAGGGATCAGCCTGGATGGTCACATAATTTGAGGTGCAATGGAAGCACCCGAGATGCCGTTCAGTCGGTTAGGTAACTCCCTATGCTCCCCAGGTGTTTGAAATGCATGTTTCGCCATCCCTGCTTTCCAGTGTAGCTGGGTCGAGGTGGTCTGCAGGCTTTATAGCGTCACTGGGTACCCTTGGACAGTATCTTGGGGGTTACTGCCACAATGGTTCCACAGGTAATGCTGTGGGGGCAGAAGAGTCAAGGCTGATGATTACCAGCGCTCTACAAGCTGGTCAGCTGATGAAGAGCGGGTCTTTGAGATCAGAAAGAAACTGCTGGTGTTTAAGAGATTATTTTCTTAGGAACTCAGGGTAGAGATTGGGGCCTAGACCCACTTTGGTTCAGCCTAGGCAGATGGTGTCCTGGTGTGGGACTTAGGTCCTGATGTCCAGTTCAAGCCAGTGAGTGCTCTAGGTAGGACCAAAAGAACTTCCTCCTGCTCGGGCTCCCAGATAGGTACCAAGAGACGTGAATTTCATTTTCATAGGAAGGAATGTCCAAAAAGTGGTGTGTGACAAGGCCTAGAAGACCATTTCTGGGGGTTGCTGGGAGTAGGGAAGATTGGTAGACCCCAAGATGGCAAAGTCTGTGATTCTAGGACTGGTGGTCCCTCTGTCAGGTGTCTGAGGGTGGCAAACCAGCCTCTGAGTACTCCCTGTCTCTGGCAGAGACTGGCTGATTCCTGCGACCACAGTTCTGAGAGCCTGGGAGTAAGGAAGGGAGAGAGGACCGTCAGCTGTGGAACCCCAGCTGGGGCAGGACAAGGCAGGAGAGAGGCAAGGTCCAGGATACGGAGTGTGATAAGGCCACTTGTCCAGCAGGTTTCATACCAGACAGAGCCTTGGCACTCTAAGGCTCTGCCCCTAGGCACCTGTATGCCTCAGGAACAGCAGCCTGCCAAGAGGGTAGGCACCTTCAGCACAGGTGGGGAAGGCAGAGCCTGATGCTCAACTTACAGCTTTGCTCTTGCCCTAATCAGTGGCCAAAGGGAAAAGCCCATGCCCACCTCATTCCCATGGCCTGGACAACACTTACTTAAGTAGGTGCCGCCTGGAGCCACTGTGTCAGCCATGGAGGACAGGAGAAGCGTACAGTAGTTGGCCTGGAAGAAGCCAAGGGAGGTGCTGGACTTTGGTACAGGGTCCCTGCCATGTGACTCCCTTCCTGCCAGGGCAACTGCTGCCCAAGACTCCTCACTCTGGACCAGGCTCCCCCATGTCCCATAAGGGTTGGTGACAGGATGTGGTGGAGAGTCTCGGCTTTGTTAGAACAGCTCTAAAGAATAGTGGGTCTCCAAAGTGACTTGGGGCAAGGACAGGCATAGGCCAACATATGCTTCTGCCCTGAGATCTCATCTACCCTGTCCATAATCTCTCGACTCTGTCCCAGCCCTAATGCTGCCCATCAGAATGCTAGTACAGGGCTATGGTGGTTCCCACAGAAGCAGAAGGATGGCCCCACCTCAAGAAGAAGAATGGACAGAATGGAAGAATGGTTGCTGGCTTGCCTGTGATTCCAGACACTTGATCCTCTTTTCTTGCTCTCTCAGCCCCCCGACGTATTTGGCAATCAAGTCCACTCTGGAAAGCAGAGCCGGCCACAGATGTGACACTTCCATGGCACGCCACAAGAGGGAGCCTGCCTGCTCTAACTGCTTTCTCAGGGCCTCGGGCTGCTGTTGCCTCTGTGCTACTCTCCTTTTAGTCTTGATCTGGGCTCTGTCTATAGATATGGAGCACTTCTGTATCCTCCCAGAGATTGAGGTCCTGCCCCTGCTTGGAAGCGTTCAGGAACAGCCCTTCCACCACCCAGCATCGTCTGGGGATGGATCTTCAGACTTGAGAGAGGATGAAGGCAGAGTCCCATTGCATAAAGATACCTAATTATGGGGTTTGTGTCCCACCCCCACCCCCCACACACTCCCTCCCCCTAGAGCAAGAGGCTGGAGTGCTGGGTCCTGTGACACAGCCATGTTTCCCCAGCTCAGAGGTCCTATTACTGACACTAAAGAGTCTCATCTAGCCTTAAGGCAGTTCCGAAAATCCCACCATTACTGAAAAGACTAGATACTTTTCTGCCTCCATATGCTTGCACTAGGGAACCCCTCCCAGACTTATTGCCTCTCAAAACACCCAGTTGACCAAGGTCAACCCAGCCCCACTGCATTTGAGTCCACCTGCCTCCAGGTAGGGCCCTCTCTACATCTCTGGGCTGCCCATGAACAGGCATGGTGACACCTGCCAGCCTGAGCCTCACATGCCTGCTCTCTGGAGTCCCATAGGTCGCCCCACCTGTGTGCTGTTTTCCTCAGCATCTCCCCCTCGCTGTCCCTCCTCCGTCTCTCCATGGTGCTCAGGAAGTTCTCCTTCTGAACTGTTTCCCAGGTGATGATCTTCTGGTCCAAGGGGTCAGGCAAATCTCTCTCTGGCAAGGTGGGAGACAGCAGCAAGCCTTGGAGAGCTGTGTGGGTCCCTAGGGCAGAGCCCAAGCCCAGGCTGTGGCAAGGGACTAGTGCAGATGCCACCAGGCGGGGCACAAGGCAGATGGCAGAAATAAGCCCCATGGAGGAATTTTGGGCTGCAAGGAGACAGGATGGCCCTATGGCTGTCTAGTATGGGCCTGGGGTTTTGGTTAGCCTGGACAGGGCCTAGATGAGAAACCCCAGTCCCTTCTGTGAGTCTTCTCTGGCAGCTAGGACCCTTGGGAGCAGTGGCATTCAGCCTGTGGCCTCACCTAGGTGTTGACGCTTGTGCTGGGCTTCTTTCCTGAAGACCCTCTTGAGCACCAGACTCAGGTGGCTGAGCAGGATGAAGGGTGGGGCCAGAGCTGGTCGCCCATGGTATTCAACGATGAGGTGGTAGCGTTGAAACTTCCAGAACATGTCGGCATTGCCCTGGACCACTTGGAATGTGTAGCTACAGGACACATGACCAAGCCCTTGCCTTGTAAGCTGCTCTCCCACCCATAGAAACATCCTACCGCGACCCAGCACCACTTCCCACCCTATATACCACACCTCCTGGATCCCACTTCCCACCCTTCATCCCGCCCCATTCACCCTCCACTCCCTATATGTCATCTTAATTGCATTCAAGGGGCAACTGGCCTTTACTGGGAGCCCTTTCAGAGTTGGAGGCTAACATAGGTTTAACTGTCAACTTGACCATCTAGAGTCACCTGAGAAGAGAGCCACAATTAAGGGACTGCCAAGATCCCATTGCCCTGTGTATATGTCTGTGGTGGGTTATATTGACTATTATTTGATGTAGGAGGGCCCAAGTCATTGTGGGCCACACCATTCCCTGTGCAAGAGGTCTTGGGCTGTGTAAGAAGTCTAGCTAAACATGAACCTGAGTGAGTTAGCAAACAGCATTTCTGTGTGGTCCCTGCTTTGAGCTCCTGCCCCAACTTCCCTCAGTGATGGATTGTGATCTGGGCATGTAAGATGAAGTAAACCATGCCTCTTCCTAAGTTGCTTTCAGGAAGTTTTATCTCAGCAATGGAAAGAAGACTAAGATAGGGGCCAGAACCTCTCAGTCACAGACTCAATTGTACTGCAGTGGGACATACTCACAGGCCGGAGTCCCCATGCCTGTAGACTCACCCTCCTTCCTAGCAGGATAGACATCAGGCATTGAGCTGGGGTGGGTTCACAGTATGCCCAGAGCTGAGGCATTGGCTCTCTACTGCAGGGCCGGCCCAGTGGACACAACAGCAAAAGGGAATAGGTCCTTTGTACTAGGGACACCGGTCCTATCTCTGCCAACATCCTGAAACCAGTCCCACTGAGAAGCACAAGCAGGGATGTAGTGAGGGCAGGTGTCCAGGAGAAGAGGAGGGTACCTGAACATGGCAATCAGCAGGTTCATAAGTAGCACATTAGTGACCAGCAGGAAGGTGACCAGAAGTAGAATGACCACCCAATTGGCATAGAGATTGGGGCAGGAAGCCGAGTTTTCCAGCAGTAGAGGATGAAGCGAACAGTTCACACGGGCCTCTGCAAGACAAACAGACATCTTCAGACTGGGAATGTGGTTCCAAGCTGAGGTCACTAGGGTGCAAGTCTGGCTAGGCAGACAGGGACCTGGTTCACATAGGGCTGGCTATGTGAACCACAAAGCACCAAAAGTGCCATTGTGGAAGCCAGCCCTAGTTGCACCAAACTAACAGGTGGACTGCGTATCATCTGCACTCCCTGCTGGGCTTCCAGCAAAGGTCACAGGGCATGGAGGCAAGCCAAGTCCATGTGAGGAACGGAAGTGAGGATACAAGAGTCATGGAACCCATTTCTGTCTGTCGTTGCATGAAACAATTCCTCCATCTACCCCAGAAAGGCTTACTATCTGTGCCTTTCCCACCCAGGGCTCCCAGCTGGGAGTGAGTCTGCCACCTTCTAGGCATCTCTGTCCACTCTGGGAGTTTCCACTGTCCTGGGCATCCCCTTAAGGGTTCTGGCCACAACACTAGCCCCTTTGAGCTGTCAGCCCCTTTATTTATGTGTTCCCCCTCCAGGTCCCCACCTTGGCTACACCTGGCCAAGCTTGCAGAGTAGCACAGGCTGAGGTTGCCACCCCTGCTCCTGGTTCCATTCTGTCTTCTCCAGATTGTGTGCTGGCGGATGACTGCCGTGTAAGTAGGTGTAGACGTATGTGCCTGCGTGCAGGTCCTGTTCCTGCTCTTCCAGAGCTCTGTGTTACAAGTGATACTCCAGGGAGGCTGTGTGGGGGTGCGATTCTGGTATGTTGGACTTTCAAGGTCTACCTGTATGTACTGGTGATTCTCTGACCCTGTCTCCCTCTCTAGGACAAATCCCTGCCTCGTTGCCCCAGTGAGTTATGATGAGCTGTCAACCCATGGGACAGTAAATGAGTGTTGTATGGAGGGGTGTATGCAACCTTCTGAGAATGCCAGATCCCATCTTTTCACCTCCGGATCTCATCTTTTCACCTCCAAGGCTGCCTTAGCAGCCCCCAAGCCTATGAATGATGCTACTCCCCTACGCTCTTCCCTCCCAAGGTACCCCAGAGAAGTGACCAAGCCCTACTTTGTAAAGTCGTAAGTCTGCACCTGCCTGAGGTCTGAGAAGGCCCACATGGCCTGGTTGAACACAATTTGACCCTGGAGTCCAGAGTTTGGTAAAAGAGGAGAAAGTGTGGTGTGAAAAGGAGTGAAGGGGTGGAAGGGAAGGGAAGGACTTCCCCCATCTCTATACTTCACAAAGTGGGCCAGAATTACCCAGACCTTAGTTTCCCTCTGAGCACAGACATGTTAGAGAATACCGGTCCATTCTCAGCCTAGTAGACTCTGTGTGGGGAAGGGCACCTGGAGAAGCTAACAAGGGGACTGGCAAAACTGCTTCATGCCTCACTATGCCCGTCACATCCATAGTGGTTCTGCTGACCCTGCGGTGGCCTCCATGTCTGGACTAAGGCCCTTCCAACCCGCTGTCCTCCTAGGCTGCCAGTTGGCCTGAGCCTGTTTCCCAATGCCTGTGCAAGAGAGACCAGAATTGTAGTTACTAGAGAACTGAGATCCCGGAGCTGCTCTGACCAGGGCACTCAGCTTCCTCTTTCTGCCCCCAGGGACTGGGGTCATGAGGCCATCACCTCATGAGGTGAGGGGGAGAGGAGAGGCCGGCAATATCTGCTTAAGCTAATGGCTAGGAAAGTGATGGCTCAGGTTGAGCAAACACCGAAGGTGCTGGGGTGGGGAGAAGAAAACAGCGTAGGGTATGGCTTGGGAACACTCCAATTCGAAGTTAATTCCCAGCCCTTCTGTCCCCAAAGGCCTGGGCTTGCTCCAGTCTCACTGTCCTCTATTGACAAATATTCATCAAGCATTGTGATGGCTGACCTGGCCTCATCAGTGGCCTCCCCCAGGATGGCTGGGGTCAGATCTCTACTGACTATTCAAATTGCATAGCCCCATGGTTGGATAACCCCAAGTCCCTTGACACTAGCATGAGCACTCACCCTTATGCCTCCATCTGCACCCCATCTCTAAGCCTGTGCATGCTCAGTGGAGCTGTTGTCCTAAACCCACCACTCTCTAAGCCCTTTTCCTTTCTGATGAATCAGATCCCTCTGCCCAATCTTAGCCCCCCTAGGTTCTCACAGGTCTCCATTCTGGCTCCAGTGTTTTCCTTCCTCCACCACCCACAAGAGCCCTGCTGTAAGTACCCAGCTGCACCCACTTGTCATGAAGTTCCTAGGATCTCCATCAGCCCTAGCTAGGTGCAGGGCCTACCTTGAGGGGACACCCGTGATTACAAACAAGCCACACCCAACAGGCAGAACACAGAAGCTGGATGGATTTCTAATGGATTACATGGAGATTTCGTCAGGTAAAGCAACATGGAACGGCCAGGGTGGCCCGGGTTATTCATGCTGTGCTCATAGGGTCTGTTCATTTTCTGCCCCTCACAAGACCTCTGTCTCCAAGAGCCAACCCAGCCCTCGGCCTCCTCAGACAGAAAGCCAGCTCTGGCTATTTGGAATCTCCATGGCCTACTTCCCAGTCGGGGAAAATGTGGGGGTTCTAGGACTGGCTTTGTCTTGCCCTGCCTCTGGATCCCAGCCTGGAAGGTACACAAGGCCTGTGGCCTAAAATTAGGATTGTCTCAGGCATTCCCAGCCAGGGCCTTGGTGACACAGGAGTTCCAGCAGAGGACCACATATCCTGGAGCTCACCATCCCACCAGCCCACCTGCCTGGCTCAGCACAAACCATCAATCTCGTCCAGAGGGATTTGCCCAAAGATCTGCAGATAAGGCCGGTAGAGCACTCGGCGGAAAATCCACTCCAGGCGGTTGTCGTGGGGGTGCAGTAGGGCCTGAGTGGTCACACCATAGGCCACAAGCCACACGCTCAGGAAAAAGAGGAAGAAGAAGACATCCTTCATCTGCAAGGGGGAGGGTCACAGTCACGGATGGACTGAATGGGAACTCACTTTCCTCCATGTGGGAGTCCAGAGAGCTTACGCTCACCTAGGGCTGGCGTTCCTGGGTTCTCACCTCAAACAAGAGTTAGAGTTCCAGGTAGATCATCCCCTCTCAGGCCTATGGTGTCAGCGTTCTCACCACCACCTTGGCTGGGGTTTCAGGACTTACCCCCATCCAGGGTTGGAGATTCCAGGATTCCCACTGCCAGTCAGGGTTGGGATGGCACAACCACAGGGCTCATCACCACCCGAGGTCAAGGTCCGAGGGGGCTTACCCCTAACCCAAGTTAGGGTTCCAGGATGCTCACCTTCACCCAGGGTTAGGATCCCATCTACCCAAGGCTGCGGCTATAGGAATCGCCCCTTTAGGTAGACACAGTGGTGTCTTACTCTCATCTAGAGTTAAAGCCCAGGGCCCTTACTGTCTGAGTCAGTGTTCCTTTGGACTCCTCAACTATCCAGGGCTGGGACTCCAGGGGACTCACCCTCAGTGGGTTTAGGGTCCTGAGGACTCATTATCCTCTGGATCAGGTGCCCCATCTATCCAAGACTGAGGTCCCAGTGCCTCACCCCCCTCAAGGGTCAGGGTCCCAAGGACCCACCATCCGCTCTACAATGATGATCTTAGGACCCAGCTGCTTGTGGATGGCAAAGATGTGGATGAGCCGAAGTGTGAACACCATGAAATCAATGGCCAGAACAGTGCGGCCAGCCTCGAACACCGAGGGCAGCATCCTGGAGAGAGACAATGGCTGGGTAGAGCTGTGGGTGCCCGTGGACAGCAAGAGGTTTCCCCCAAGACACAATGTATACTGGCCAAATGGCTAAAGAGTAGTTTCCAGGACCATACCAGGATTCCAGAGGGCTGAGTGGACCTCCTAGAACCTGCCCACCCAACCCAGCGGAGGCTACAGACCTACAGGTGACACCAACAATGAACAGGAAGATGGCCATCATATCACACTTGTTCCAGTTGTCCTCCACATACAGAGTAAATTTCTTCACCAGGCGTGTGTCCTCATCTGTAAAGAAGCCCTGGCAGAGGGAGGAAGTCTGGTTACAGCAGCCAGGTTCCACCTTGCTGAGACCAGAGTAGAATCTGCATGGATCAAGGCTCAGTTTGCCAAGCTGATCAGAATCAGCGGGTGACTAGGACCCAGAGTATGATTAGGACTGGGGGTATCAGCTGAAGATATTTCAGGGCTGAGTCTGGGGGCAAAAAAAATGAGGTCCAGCTGAACTTGAGTCAGAACTGTTTGTGACTGAAACTCAGGGTCAGTTTACACTGAGTGTCTGGACTTAGCCAATGACTCAGGCCAGGGTTCAGACTCTGCTAGGGAGTCATGATCTATCTGGAACAGGGATCAGGGCTCAGGATGGAGCTGAAATCGTGCTCAGGGCTCCGACTGTGATCGACATCAAGACTGTGACGAAGATCAGGCTTATTCTGATCAAGATAAGGGCTTGGTCTGGAGCTGGGATTGGGGCTCAGTCTGACCAGGACCATGACACAGTAGCCTGAGTTGACAGAAAGGCCATACCGTGGTCTTGTTCTATAGATAGACAGTCCTCAGAGCAGACCCCACCTGGAGCTACACATAACACAGCCTGAGTTGCAGAGCCCAGGAGAGGGCCAGGCTCCCCACTGACCTGTCGGATTTCCTCCAGCACCAGTGTGAACACCCAGAAATAGAGGGTAACCTCAGACCCAGATGGCCCCTGGGGAGGTGGCCGAAAGTCCACCAGCAGGACATAGGTGAACAGGAAGAGGAATGCAAAGTACATGACCACATTCCCCAGGAACACAGTCACAGGCGCTCCCCAGAACTTCCGCCACCGTGTGAGCAGGAAGGCGGCTTGTGGGCCTAGTTCGCCTGGAGCCCTTGGTGTCTCTGTCAGCTTCTCCAATCTGTGTGGGTGCAGAGGAGGTCACCATGGTGAGAGAGTACCTAACCACCGTACTCCTATGGAAATTTTCCTCTGTCTACCTGTGTCTAACCACCGGCCACTGCCGAGTGGTAGTCCTTCCTCTCTCTCCATCCTTCCCAGTCTCCTCCATTCTTAACTCCATGATCCCCAGCCTTCTCTTTCCTTCTCAGCCCCCCTCTATCCCTTCTATAATCTCCATTTTCCTTGCCCTCTGTCTTTCTGGGCCCAGTCTACCTTTCCCACTTTCCTAGCTCCTTCCATCTTACCTCGCTTTATCCTTCCTGGCCCCCTCCATCCATTTCACACCCCTCCCCCCCGCCACTCCTTACTGGCCGCCCTGGCTGCACAGGAAGCTCTTTTCCACATCCAAGCTGTCTGGCTCCTGCAGATCTTCCAGGCCAATCTTCTGTGGGACATCCTCACTGCAACACAGGGAAGGCTATCCCAAGCACACAGACAAAGAAGGAAGTCCTAGGCCCACCGAGAAGGAGGGCTCACATAGCCAACTGGACATTGGGCTATGAGAAGTGGGAACAGTGAGAGACTCTGGCACCTGCTGCTGCCTACATAAACCTACCTGAAGGTGATGAGGTTGGTATAGATGAGGGCTGGGCAGGTGAAGGCACCCAGCAGCCGTAGGATGGGCGTGCCTGTGGCCATGTCTCCCCACCAGATCTTGGTCAGGAATGCCTAGAATAGAGTCCCATGTTCTGGCTGCCTACCGCCACATTTTCACTAACCCAGGGCTCTGTGCCTGAAGTGCACAGACCCCTCTCAAGCCCCCTCCTGTGCATCTGCTTGGCAGAAGGTCAGACTCTTTCCGGAGCACGTGTTTGACTGTTCGCAACCTGCCCTCCTTCCCTTCTTTTGTCTTTGCGGCAGTCTCCTATAACTCAGGAAAGCTGTGAACTACCCAGCTGAGGATGGCCTTGAACTCCGGGTCCTCTTGTCTCCACCTCCCTAATGACGGGATTGCCATCATGGGTCACTACGCCCGATTTATTCAGTTCTAGGGATGGAACCCAGGGCCTCATGCATGCTGTACACTCTACTAAATGAGCCACACCCCCAGCTCTGTTGTAACCTTTCAATAACAGAATTGTGAATTGGGGTTAAGGACAACCACACTGAGAACAGGTGTTACTGGGTCCAAGAACCAAGCTAGAAAAGCATCCCTGATGAAGGAAGCCGGAACCCAGCCACTCTTCTTGGTCCCTTCCCTGTGTTGCTTGGGCATGGACTGGAAGCTGTAGGCTGGGGACATTAGTTGAGGTACTTCAGTGTTCTGGGTAGGTAGCCTGGGCCCTGCCAAGGCTCCTTCACCCCAGGCCGTCCTTAGGCAGATTAGCCACTCACTTGCACACCATCATGGGCAAAGAAGGCTTTGGCATCGGCTTCAGTGGCCAGGTGCAAGCAAGTGGTCCGGCTCCAGCTGTGGTTCCTGCGTACCAGCAGGGCGAAGGCGCGGTCCTCGCTGTTGCTGTAGCACTCTGAGAAAAGATCTGCACACAAAGCCAGCTGCTGGGACGGGGTGCCTCCCATGCTACAGGGCTACTGAGAGTCCCGGCCTGGTCCCAGGGCCCTTCTCAACCTCTGACCTCCTCTTGCCCTTCTCTTAGTACTGTGAGGGCTTTAGTTCCCAAACAGCTTTCACTCTGTGGTAGGGCCTACTACATAGCCATCATGTACCGGGGCCTACCACATCTCCCCCTCCCTGTCAGGACTTTTTGACCAACCTCCATCCCCAGGAGTAACTGTCCTGAGTTCTGCTCTACATAGGAGGCCATGAGGGTTACCCTGAACTACTTGCTGTAGACAGCCACTTCAGGGGAAGAGAAGCAGAGGCCTTCTGCCTGTCACTCACCCAGGGCCAGCTGCTCATACTTGGCCTCACGCATGGTGCGGGCCACCTCTGCTTCCTTCTCCAGGTGGGACATTTCCTTTATGATCTTGCAGGCGGCCAGAGCAGCAGCCACACCCTCCTGGCCCTGGAAGATGGAAAGACAGGATCTTAGAAGGTGGCCCAACTGTCCCACCGTTCTCCAGTCTGCTTCTCAGGATGCCAAGGGAGCCATGGACTGAGGTGACTGCTCACCATGGCCCAGAAGTATGTGGCCATCTCATAACGGTTCTGCAGCACAGCCCAGAGGAACAGATCCCTCCAAGGGTCCTCACTCTTCCGATTGAGGTCTGGCAGCCACTTCTGGCCTGTCGGTCGCTTGGGTGGCCCTCTCTCCTACAGAACAGGGCGTCAACAGTCAACCCACTCAGCACACCTTGGCCCAACCTGGTTCTACTCACCTCCGTCCTGCGCCCGTCTTGGTAGAAACCACGGCAGGCATCGTGCAGGAAATCCTTGAGTACACGGGAGACCTCGTGGAGTGAGAAGGCAGGCAGTCCAATGGGCAGCTCCCGGGCCTGCTGAGCACCCAAGCCAGCCAGCGTCAGCCGGCCCTCCTCATGCTTACGCTGTAGCAGTTCAAAGAGGAGGCTCTTGGGGGATACGGAGTGGTAAAGTTGCTGCAGGCGCCCGTAGGTTAAGAACTCGGCCATGTCAGCACCGCTGTCCACAAAGAGGCGCACGAAGTCAGGTTTGTTGCTCACTAGGGCATCCGTCATCACCTCTTCCAGGTCACAGGACTGGATTCACCCAGTAGAGAAGGGGATTGAGACAGTAAGAGGGAGAAAGAGGGGCTGGACATCCTCCCCTGGGCACCCCAACCTGTACCCTAAAGCTGGGGCAGGCATGGGTCAGCAGAGCACACTGGCCTCAGGGGCCAGAGACAGGAAAGGGCTGGTGAGTTGACAATAATAGCGTCAGGACTCTAACACCCCAGCCTGGACTTTGGGGATTCCCTAATGTCATTTTGACCCCCTCTAGGACAACAGTTGGAATAGAGTGGACCCAGATGACACCCTTGAGACCCTGCTTCCACGGGCCTCAGTGCATTCCCTGCCCAGTGTTCCCGAATCAGGTCTGGGTAGGGGGGCACCTTCCATTCCACGTCGCCATTGAAGATCTCGCTCTTGGCGATGTCCACGCGGTCCCAGGCCACAGCCAACTTGAGCTCGTCTAGGTAGTCTTGGGCCTCCTGGCTGTGGCTCTTGCAGGCTGTGGGAGGGAGGGAGTCCCACAGAGATGGAGGGGAGGAACTGGAACTCTCTGCGGACTTGATGGGGGTTGGCAGCTGCCTTTGAACAGCAGCAGGAGGCACAGGACTAAACACTCAGGGACAACATCCCGGAACCTCCTGGACTCAGTCTGCACAGGAGGCACAGACACAGTCACGTTTCTGGCAATGTAGCACCTTGGCCTACATATTCTTGCCCACGAACAGGGCAGTGCCGTACACTCCCACGCAGACACACTTCTCCCATGGGGATGGCTACACACTTTCACCAAAGGCCACAGGTACTCCCAAACCCCAGGATTAAGAGCACCAGGCTTTTGCCTCCACAGAGCTGGGACTCACTGAAAGTCACATGTGGTCCTGGGCTCCCAGGCTCCCTGGGCCTCACTGTCTTGGGAAGGTGAGTGGCTAAAACCAGAGCTGCCCTGTTGTAGACCAGAATGACCTTGAACTTGCTAGGTAGCCGAAGATGACTTTGAGATGCTGATCTTCCTGCCTACCAGGTGATCTTCCTACCTACCAGATGTAAGCTATCACATCTGGTTCATGAGATGCTGAAATTGAACCCAGGACCTTATATATGCTAGGTAAATTTTTTGTTTTTGTTTTTTCTTTTTATTTTTGAGACAGGGTTTCACTGTATATCCCCGACTATTCTGGACCTCACTCTATAGATCAGGCTGCCCTGGAACTTGTAGAGATCCACCTGCCTCTGCCTCTCAAGTGCTGGGATTAAAGGCATGAGCCACCACTGCCTAGCTCAAACATCCTGCCAATTGAGATGCACCAGTTGCCCTCTTGTGTACCAGGCCCTCTTGGAGTGGCCCCCTACTCAGGTATGCCCCCATTCCTTCCCCAACACTGCCTTGCCCAGCTTCTAGCCTGTGTACACCTGTTCTAGGTCAGCCCCACGGCACCGACAAGCCTAGGTGGTAATCCAACATCTCCATCAGTGGCCGAGTGGACAGACGCATGGTACGTCTACGCAGTAAATATTAGAGCTCAACCTTGGAAGTCAGGGTTTCCTGGCATCATCTGCCAGGGGGATGGGTCTGTGGGACATTGTGCTTTATGAGGGAAACTGGGCACAAACAATGCAGGTTGTAATTCCATCCATGCAAAGTGGCCCCAAAGCTCACATCTATAGACAGAAAGCAGGTAGGGGACCAGGACCTGGGGACAAGGTGAAGTTGCTAAGGCTTTCTGGGAGGGGGGCAATAGAAAAATTCCAGTATTGGTGGCGGTGACAATGCCCTGGGGCTAGATTATAAGTCGCTAGACTGAACACTTCAGAAAGGCTTTGCAAATCTGAACCAGACAGTCATCCGCTGCGGACACTGCTGAGTCCCGCTGCCTCTGAGGGCAGGCCTAGACGGCTCACCTTTCACCAGTGCCTTAAGGATGACAGTGTCCAGGTCCTCAGAACCCTCCTGCTCGAAGTCATACACAGTGAGAAGGTGGGGGTGCGCAGCGATGTTCTGTAGCTAGGGCCAGGAAGAGGTCTTGAGGTCTGAATGGAGCCTGGAAGGGTCTTCAGACAAATCACTCTGCCCCGCTGACCCACAAGCCTAGCTCAGCAGCTCAGCCTGACAGGCTGGCTAGCTGATCTCACTGCTGCACAAGGACCCGCATGATTCCAAGGTGGGATGGGAAGAGAGGGCACAGGCAAGGCCTGCAGGACTGTCAGGAAGGACATCCCCACTCAGGGGTTGCTGGGAAAACAGATGCAGCACATGGCCACAGCGACCCCCAGCAGCACGCACCAGCTCTGTCCAGTGCACAATGGCTTCCCAAGAGAAACACTCGCCAGGGAATTTCTCTCTGAACTGCTTTTCAGTCACCTGAGGCACCAGGAGATGAGGCTGGCTCACCAGAGCAGCAAGTACATCAGCGATGCCCCCAGAACCTGCCAGGATCAGCCACGGGGCAGCCTGCTCCACTGCCCTGGAAATCCTCTGGGGAGGCAGAGGTGACATCCAAACGCACATTTAGGAGGTGCCTCAGCCCTCCACACTACCCCGGGGTACCTTGGGAAACCACCACATCCTCCCTGACTCCAGTCAGACCCTTCCTCTCCCCTGTCCTTACCTCCAGGGTTCTGGGGTCACCGTTGACCAGTAGGCAAAGGACAGGTATCTGGATGCTGCTGGTGCCTGTGGGTATAGCAGCCATGAGGCCACTTAATGCTCAGAAAGGGAGAAACTCAGGTCCTCCTCATTAAGTAGGACAACCACCCCCAACTTCAGATCCCCCCAGGTACCATGTTTCAGGCACACCCTGCCAAAAAGCATCCTTCCCTCTCTTTTTTTTTTAATTTTGTTTTTGACAGGGTTTCTCTATGTAACAGTCCTGATTGTCCTGGAAATCACTTTGTAGACCAGGCTGGTCTTGAACTCATAGAGATCCACCTGCCTCTGCCTCCCAAGTGCTGGGATTAAAGGCATGCACCACTGCCTCACTCTTCCTTCCTTTTAAAACAGAACAAACCAAAACCAAAACCAAAACCAAAACAAAAACAGGGTCTGATGTAGCCCAGTCTGGTCTTGGATTTTGAAATGTAGTTTAGGACGATGTCCGTTTCCATTTCCAGGGTGCTAGGACTACAGCATGTGCCACAGCCCCTGGTTCATTCTGTGCTGCAGATTGAACCCAGGGCATTGTGTGCCACAACAAGCGCTCTACTAACGGAACTACATCCCCAGCCCACCGTGGCTTTTCCCCTCTCTCTTTCAAACCAAGGTGAACCATGATAGTGTATCAAATCCCTGACAGTGGGCCAAGACTTCAGCTGTTTGTCTGTGCTCTTCAGGGCTGGCAGGTAAGCACAAAGTAACCTGTGAGATGTGAAGCCTTGTGACACGGACCACATCCAAGGGTAGCCACACTATGGCTAGGTAACCACTCTACCAGCCTAGGACAGAGTCGCTCCGCATCACAGGAGACACACTGGGCCAACAAAGTGATAGAAGCAGGTGGGAGCAACCCCAGACTGCTGGGGTCCTGTGGAGGCCTTTGTGATATCAGATACAGACCTGTTTCCATTGTTAATAGGCACTGGCTTCACCAAAGTTACATGATTGCTTATTAATATACTATTCACACACATGATAAACAATGATATAGTCATTTATAAATATCCATCGTCTGCTATGATTTTCCCAGTCCATCTCTCTTTCACACCCTCCACTAGCCACAGTTGTGCCCATTCCTTCAGGCATTTCTGCCTCCTGGTGGCAGTGGAGGGGACTGCACCTCTTAGAAGCCTTATGGGCTAGCAGAGTCTGCAGCCAGAACAGTGCCAATTAAAACAGTGGCAGCTGCCCTGCTATCTGGCCAAGAGATGGCTGCCTAGCCAGGGCCATCCTACCCAGCTGTGCCACTCTCCCATCCCACCCCAACAGCTCTTCTTCCCAGGTCTTTATGCTCAGGCATGTGGCGGAGGTGGGGGTGGGGTGGGGGTGGTGTAGGGTGGGGGTGGTTCCTGGAAGGCCCTTTCCCACTCATTCTCTATGAAGTGTGTATCATATCTCCATGTTCGCATCCCCAAGATGCTGCCTGTGCAGCTGAGTGAGCCTTACCCCCATAACCTGTCCTCTGCTGAGAGATGTGCTTCTCCAGGCTCAGCCGTAGCTCTGCCAGTCCGTCCTCGCTCCCAAGGCCACCAGGCTCCACCAGGATGAAGTGGGAGAGATTGCTGTCCAGGGGGCAGAGAGGTCCCTGGATGCTGCCCTCATCGGCAGGGTAGTGGATGGGGGTATCCTCCTGTGCCAAGCGTTTGGGAAAATATGGCGAGGTGGAGACCTCAGGAGCAGCTTTGGCTGGGCCTTACTGCGCTGTGCACGCCATGCTGGGGCCCTGGGCAAGGCTTCCGCAAGGCCTCAGAGTCCCCACCCCTCAGGCAGAGGAAGGCTGGACTGCTGGGCCAGGGGCCTCCCTGGAATGAGTGAACCATGGAAACAGCTGGGGCCAGGGCTGTGAAAGCTCCACCTTCTAGACTTTTCTGGGCTGGGGTCCAGACTTCACCTCAGTGGGGCCTCCTGGGCTTCTCATTGGCTACGCCTTACACAGTCCACAGAGTGGGGTGTTTGAATGAATACCAGAGAGCAGAAGCCACCTGGCCAGGGTTTCCCGGGACATTAGGACAGCAGTCCAGCTAGGCTGGGCCCTGAGTGCTATCAGTGTGGCTTCCTAGAGGAGTACAGCAGGTTTGCCACCCTAATTCCTGAGTAATGCTGCCACCTGCTGGGGAGTGCGGAGCCCTGTGGAACCAATGTTTTTCTTCCCACTGAAGCCCATACTTGTCCCCCACCTCTCAATACTCTCAGAGTCTCTGTGGGTAACATAGTCCGACAGTCTGTCCATAGCTCCCTCTACCTACACAAGCTTACTGAGCCCTAACAGCCTTGGATCCATGAACCTGTCACTAACCTGGGCACCATCTAGAAGCTGACTATGAAGGATACGGTCCAGAGAGGCCATTCCTATGGCCACGACGCGAACTTTGGTGGATGTGCTAGCCAGAGAGTGATCACGTACAGCCTGCCCAACATGGCGGGCCAGGCCTACATGGAGGGCACTGGTCAGGATCCAAGCACCTATGGAAGTTGGGAGAGAAAGGTTCTGGAGTCCTCATAGTTGGCTGGCCCAACTTCATCCCCTAGCCATATTACAGTCAGAGACCCAGGAATCATGTGATGGGAAATGCTTTTATTCCCCTTCCCCCAGAAAGGGTCTTTATAGTGTAGTCTAGCCTGTAACTTGAAATAATTCCCCTACCTCAGCGTTCCATGTGCTAGGAGTACAGTATGCACCAACATGCCCAGCTGCAGGGAACACTCTGAATCTGATGGGGACACTAAGGCTCAGGGAGGATATGTGCATGGCAGACAGTGATCTTCCCCAAGATTTGTCATAGATGCTTCCAGGTAACATGTTCTGGGCGAGGACCAGGATGACAAAGCTCCTGCTTCCATCTGACTGTGAACCATTCCTTTATTATAATCACTTCTTCAGTGAGAGACTCAGAACCCCCACCTCCCCTGCTGGGTGTGTGTTTGTGTGTGCAGGACATCTATGTGGGGACAGGCACATGTGTTGGCCAGAGGTGCCATTCATCTCGTCTGTGTAAGATAGTCTCTGAAGAACCTGGAGCTCGCTGATTTGGCCAGTCCGGCAGGCCAGCAAGCTACAGGGACTTTCTCGTCTGCTTCCCTTTGTATTGGGATTACAAGTACATGCCTCCACACCCAACTTTCTGTATGGGTGCTGGAGATTGGGCTTGGGTCTCTACTGAAATATCAACCTGTGCTGGTTAGCTTTAATTTATTTTTAAAATGATAAAAGTGCACTCAGTATATGCGTATGAGTGAAGTCGTCCAAAGAGACCAGAGGTGTTGAATCTCCCTGGAGCTAGAATTATGTGCAGTTCCAAGCTGCCTGATATGGGTGCTGGGAACAGAACCTCAGTCCCCTGCAAGAGCAGTACATGCTCTTAACTACTAAGCATCTCTCTGACTCCTGTGCTACTCCGCATTTAACCATCGACTTGACAACCCAGAATCACCTGGGAAGAGAATCTTAATCTAGTTCAGCTTTGGTCGGTGGGTATGTCTGTGGTGGATTGTCACATAGGAAGACCCCCCACACTGAGGGCAGCCCCCTTCACTAGGTGCTGAATTGCATAAAAGCGAAAGCTTGATGAGAACAAGTAAGTAGAAATGTGTTTATTCTCTCTGTTCTTGACTGTGGATGGGATGTGACCAACTGCCTCGAATTTCTGCCTTTATGTCTCTGAAATGAAGGCCTGGGGTGTAAACCACGTAAATCCTTTCTTCCCTTTCTTCAAGGTATCTATCACAGCAGAAATGAAAGTAGGACATCCCCTGGACCCACACATTTTCAAAATAAAGCCCAGGGATTTGATTCTGACATCTACAAGAAGCCAGATTGCTCCGCAAGGGTGGTATGTGGGGACACACCCTAGGTGGTCCTTGGTTCACTGATACCACTCCGAGGCCATGGCCTATGATTGGAGTGGATGGCTCTCAGGGAAGGACCAGCTTCTACCCATCACAGACCAGCTGGCAATGGCCTTAAAGTTTATCTGCACCACATGCCCATGACCTGCTCCCGTGGTCTCCCTGGGTATCACCAAAGGTGGGTGAGTAGGGGAAATGTCGCCAAGGAATGCTTCCCACTCCCAGTGACAAGCAGGGCAGCAGGGCAGGCAGGCCCAGTCGAGGGAGAGCCTTACCTGTGCTCTGAGCTGCTTTCACCAGCCCCTTGCGCAGGATGTCCCGAAGCCAGGACTTCATAGCAAAAGGCCGCTCCTCGCCCACCAGGGACACCACTAGGTTGGGGGCTGGCAGGTGCCACTCGGTGAGCAGGAGATCAAAGAGCACAGAGGGGGCCACGTTGCTTGACACCTTCACAAACTGCAGGACAGGGGTCAGGTGAGTTCAGGGTCAGGGCACAAGTAGGCAATTTTGGGTTGGGGGATTCTGGGACTATGGTAAATGTTTGGTTGGAGGGAGTTCCTGAGGGATTCTGGGCATGGGGGAAGAGGCTGGGCTTATGGGACAGGGCAAGGCACACATGAACGGGCCCTACAACCCTCTTGGGGTAAGGTATGATAATGATCGTTTCAGTATATCTTTCCCTCATGAGTTGGGGGTGAGACTGGAGTCCCGGACCTCAAGGTTCCCATTATCACAAGTGCAGGAAGCAACTCTCAACTTTTGCCCATCTAGTCGGGGTCTCTGCACTCAGATCATTAGGAACAAAACCAGGGTGAGCAGGCCCTGGTATTGGACTTTGAGGAGGAAGTAAGACTTGAAGATTCCAGGCATGGTGGATGTCCCCCAGATGCACGCTACCCCTACCTTGCCTCGCTTCTTCCCGGACCCTCCGAAGTCGACCTCTCCCTGGCGTAGAACTGGCTCCCACCCGTCACCAGTATCTGGGGGGCTTCCAGGGCAGGAGCTCTGGGAAGTCTGCATGGTGGCTTCTCTGTGAGAAATATGATGGAACCCAGAGAGTGGAGTAACCACCCTCTTCCCCTCTTCACAACGAAGACCCATCCCGGGTGACATGAGGTAGCTGCCCACCTGCTGGCCCCACCTTCCATGACTCTACCATCTTCTTCACAGTAGCTGTAATTAGAGTCAGGCTCATTCCCCACAGTGGGGAGGGGCGCAGCAAACCCACCTGCCTGCCTATGTTCCCCACACTTACCGAACTCCGGGCATCTGGACTTCAACACGCCTGTCACAGTTCTCCGGAGGCTTTTGCAGGGGGTGTCCTGGAAACCTCCAAAGACTAAGTAAGGAATTCAGTTTTCCAATCCAAAGGAGCCACACCCTAGACTGCCCTTGTCCTGGACAAGGTCTGAGGACATCCTGGTTAGTCCCTGAGTAGGTCGATAAGAAGGCAGGAGACCTAGCTCAGATGCAAAGGGGTTGGGAGGATAGAATGAAGAAATAGAGGGACCTAGGTGGACCTGGAAGTCCCAGGAGGGGAGGACAGGGAAGGGAGGCAGAGATGAAGGATAGAAATGGGAAGCGGGGACAGAAGGCAAAAAGGGAAGTCAGGAAGGGAAGTCCGTGCAGGGTAGCAGGTGAAGAGGACAATGGGAAGAACAGGGAGGGATAGGGAAGGGGAACCTTGTCTTGGCTCCCCTGGTCTCATAGGCAGAGGCAGGACCCCACCAGACTCTTTCCCTTCATTGCCCACCTTGGCAAACAGGATGAAGAGGCTGGCTACAGCATCTCTTACCCTGGCTGGGTTCAGGTCCTCTCCCACCCACCCACCTGGCCAAGCCAAGCCCGTGAGCTCCATCCTTAAATGCAGTGACTTGAGTGGACTGGCCTGTGTGGCTGCAGCTGTGCCTCCTACAGATCCCCTGTATTTCTCTGGTGATTGCCCCCAAATCTCTAGGGCACAGCATGATCCTGGCCTCATCATGTCTTGGCTCTTGCATCTGCCCTTCTAAAAGCAGGTGTCCAGCCAGGGAAGAACACACTGGAAGGATTTCCCTGGGTTCCACTGTAGGCAGAGAACTCCTATCTGACTTGGGATAGCTCTCTACACACCACTTCCCCATGATCCCAGGGTCTGCATGGCTGTCCCATGTGCCCAGCTTTGAGGTGCCTGCAGGATAGCACTTCAGACCCAACACTTTTTACAGGGAAAGCCCTGTGAATATAAGGGTCTGAGAAGGAGGAGACAGAGTGGTATAAGCTATGAGGGGGGTTATTCCCTGCCTCCTGTGACTAACCTGGACAGGGGTTGAGGCCTAGGTTCTTCCCACATGCCTCTGAAGCACAATGGCTATGGTGCTAACCCTAAAGAAAGTGTCCCACAAAAGTTATATCTGACCCATAGCCCCTGGTACTGTGCACACGACCTTCTACAGAAGTTTGGTCTTTGCAGATGTGAGCTGAAGTTTACCTGGGGTGAAGAGTCTGTAGATGATGGACTCATTAGAACGTCCCGTTTGTGAAAGTTGAAAGATGTTACAGATCCAGAGCCTGACTGTCTTCGGCTATCTTTAGCACCTCTAATAGCCATGTAGTGCCCACCTCTACTGTCTGACCTAACATCTATCTACCAGGCAAACTTTCAGACCATTCTCAGCAGACCCTAAGCTTCCACCAACTCAGAAGCCAAAAATGTCATCAGATAGCTCTGAGGCCTGTAGCAGAGATTACCCACACAACTGTAACCTACCTACCTGGTCTTTCCACCAATGTGTTTGATAATTGCCTTGACTTACTATTGTCATTTGTTCTGTGACTACAAAGGTTATTGTAACTATGGCCACAGTGGGGCATGTCCTTTGGAGCCTCATTAGCCACAGCCATTCATATTCTGCTCAGTATAAACTAAACTACCTCTTACTGCTTTTGGTGGAAGAACACTGTCTCATGTGGCTGTAGTGTAATTGGGATATGCTGAGCTGTTGCAGGGTGTAGGATGGGCTCTTCAACCAAGGTGGGTATGGGAAAGATTGGAGGTAGGTCCCTTAGAGGTGGCAGAGGTAGGAAGGCTCTTCCTTGTAGCCTGTCTGACTTGGGCAGGCAGGGACTTCTTGGGTCTGCTCTAGGTGCTGTGGCAGCATCTTTGTGGCCTCCCTCACCTAGTGTGCTGGTTAGGTTTTTTTTTTTTCCTGTCAACTTGACATAAGCTATAGTTATATGGGAGGAGGGAACCTTAACTGAGAAAATACCTACTACATCAGATGCCCTATAGGCAAGCCTGTAGGACTTTTTCTTGATTAACGATGGATGTGGGAGAGTGCAGCCCACTGTAGGCAGTAGCATCCCTGGGCAGGTGGTCCTGAGTTCTATAAGAAAATCATGGCTGAGTAAGCCATGAGGAGCAAGCTAGTAAGCAGCATTCCTCTGTGGACTTTGCTTCAGTTCCTGCCTCTGCATTCCTGCCTTGGGTTCCTGACCTGGCTTCCCTTTTTAATGGACTGCAAGCTGCAAACTCAAATAAACCCTTTCCTTTCCAAGTTGCTTTGGGCCATGGTGTTTATCACTGCATCAGAAAGCAGACTAGGATATCAGGGCTTCACCTTGGGCCTCCAGACCAAGATTGGCTTGTCATTCTGACTTCCCAGTGTATGAAAGTAAGCCTCCATGGGTCAATGTATGGTCACAGGCAAGTCTCCTCCCTTATATCTGGTTCCTGTAGCCAGGCGCAGCTCCTTGGTTCCGTAGGTCCCCTGTGGCCCATCCTGCCCCAGTTATGGAAAATGTAAATCTCCCCACCCACAGCAGGAGCTCACACCCAGGGCCCATGGAAGGCAGGATTTGAATAAACTCTTCCAGCCCCAGAAACAAACACTCTATAGTTTTCCTGTGGGAATCTTAATGGGGTCACAGGCATGCCCCTGTGTGCTGGTACAAAGACCACAAGCTGGGAGGCCTGATCTAACTGAGGTCCACTCCTGAAGTGTTAGGGACAGAAACCCAAAACCTAGGCATGGACAAGCTATGGCCTTCCACAGTGCTCTGAGGACATCTTCCCTGGTCTTTCAGCTCCTGGGGGCTCTAGGCATCTCTTGGTTTGTGGCCACATGGTCCCAAACCCTGTCTCTGTGGTCACATAATTGTGCCCACGCACATCTGTCATCTCCTCTTCTGGTAAGGACCCCATCACTGGGCCAGGGTCCCTACTTTCCCTCTATCTCATCTACAAAGATCCTGCTTCCAGACAAAGCTGCTGTCTGAGGGTCCATGTGGGTACCATGCCACTCACAGTAAGCCCCACTATTGGAAACTGTTTCTTCAGCCATACCTGGGAATGGGCTATGCAGCAAGGGAGGTGACTCGAGCTATATATGTCCCTTGGCTTGGGGTATGGGAACCATGTGTGGTCTCAGTCTTTGGGTTGGGAATGGGAAGTCCCACTCTTTGCCTCAGTCCCTGGTAGGAAGGTCATGGACAGCCTCATTTGAGCCAGGAGAGAAGTTCTCTGGGGCTTCCTGAGTCCCTGGGTGCTTCTATCTCAAGGACTAGACTCTAGAGAGTGTCTTTCAATATGGGGCTCAACAATGCACACCCACCCATGGGGAGTGAACCAGGTCACCTTGTCTTACTTCAGGGTAGACTGGATGGGTGGCCTTGACCCCTGGATGCCATGGGAGTTAGATGCAACACTTAAGAACTGTGAGTACTTGTTCTTCCCACCAGGTTGGTGTGGAGGAGCATTTGGGCATGTGCCAAGGACCAGGCAAATGTGGCCACCAAGAGGGAAGGCATGCAAATAGGATTTGCATGTACAGGTGTTCAGGTCTTAAACACCTCCTCTTTATTGGTTTTTTTTTTGGGGGGTGGGGTAGGGTGGAGTTGGACTGCATGACATTATTCTATGCCAAACTCCGAAAGACAAAACAGACATTTAATTCCAGGGCAGTGGAGACCCTGGATTCTCTTACTAGCTGAGGTGGTCATAGAAACAGCTTGAACTAAATGTACTTCTCACCCCCTAATATGGGAAGTGCCCAGGGCAAGACAAGAGCTGGCACCCAGACTTTGAGGTCCTCACTCTATTTGTCTCCAAACTCTCTGTGCCAGCTTCCAATGATATGTGGGTATAACCACAATGATAATAAGAGGCAGAAAGGTTACTACATGCAGGCAGGAAATAGCATGGTACCTCTCATCCCCTTAGTGAGGACACTTGGCATTCCCAACAGAGCAGATCATGGACACAGCTATGAGGAGCTGGCTTCTTCTCTCCCCTTCCCCTCATACCCAGCCTCTGAGTCCTGCCTGACTTTCTGGCAGATGTAATCCCCAAGTCTGAGGCTCACAGTTTGGACTGCCCTTCACCCAGATCCTCCCAAACAATGGGTAGCCCCTTCCCTTGCCCATGAGAGACCTGCTCTTCTGATGCTACAGGAAAGAGGGGCTCCATCCCTGATAGAGCTGAGGAAAAGAGAGCATGAGGTGCAAGTGTAGATAGAACAAGAAAGAACAAACCTCCTGCTTGTCCTTCCTACTTGCCCCACAGAGGAGCTGGGCTCTGCTCTGGCCCCACTCCCTCTGCAAGCTGGCCCTGGGGTGAGCTTACCTGCCTGTTCCTTCCAGAGTCCTGGTATGTGGCTGCTGGTGCTGACTGATGAAGCAACTCACCTACTGCAGGCTGTGTCCCCCGTTGCTCCCCGCCACATACCACACCTGTCACTTGACAGCCAATAGCGTCCCAGAAGGCTGGGTGTGAGTGAAGATAGGGTGCCACCCAGCCATCAAGGGAGGATTGGTGCCATTGGTCTGAAAGCACATCCAAGCTGGCAAGGAAGCTGTACTCACTGCTAAGAGGGCATGGTTGATACGTGGGTCCTGTCCCTTCCCTCCATGGGCTCAGCCTGCTGTGGGCAATGAGGTCTGAGTGATCGTACTCTAACATAAGGTCAAAAGATAATTCTGCCTCAGCCTCACAAAGCCACAGTTTCTCTAGTTGAGGAAACAAGGATTGTGTTAAAACTATATGACCCATGCAAGGTTGTACAGCAAACTGTCTCAAGGAGGACAGGCAGGCAGATGAATGTAGTAGGAAGGGCCACTTGTTGGTTCCCAACTGCTCAGCCCTGAAATAATCACACAGAAACTATATTATTTAAATCACTGCTTGGCCCATTAGCTCTAGCTTCTTATTGGCTAACTTTTACATATTAATTTACCCCATTGTCATTAATCTGTGTATCGCCACGTGGAGTGGCTTACTGGGTAAAGTTCCCAGCATCTATCTCATGGCTTCTCTCTGACTCCACCTCGTTTCTCCCAGCATTCCGTTTAGTCCCCCCACCACCACCTAGCTCTGTTTCCCTATAGCTCTGCTATAGACCCAGAGCAGTTCCTTTATTCATTAATGGTAATCACAGCATACAGAGGGAAATCCCACATCAGATAAACTGTTTCCCCAGGCCCCAGGAGGTCTGGAGATGTCTGCCCTGCTCTGTGGTGTACCATCCTCCCAGGGAATCCCACGGTGTGGGTGAGGTGAGTACTGTCTATTTACCAGTTAGTCAGTACCTGGGGGCCTGCAGGAGGACGGCCTCTACATCAGGGCTCAAGACCGGTGCCTGAGGGACAGACCAGGCTTTCTACGGTTGTGAGGCTGACTGCTCTCCTGTTGATCCATGCAGTTCATTCACCACTCTGAGTCTCAGTTTCTCTGCCTGTAGACAGGTCCTTGAACCCAGTTTCCTGGAGGCTGGGGGTAACTGGGGAGGAAGGACTCTTCTGATAGCTTCTGACAGTGTTTCCATGAACCCTTCCCTCACAGATCCCCGGACTTGGCCCTTGTTTGCCATTAGCTCCAGGGGTAGGGGTTAGGGGCTGGTCAGCAGCCAAGGACCCAACACTAACCACCAGAGGGCGCCAGGACCATAGTCAGAAACAGAACAGGGGTCTCCTGGCTTTGCCCTGAGTGAGAGTGCCATAGTTCCTTTCTCATTTGGACTGGTATGTTACCAAGCATGCCTATAGTGTTATCCTGACACAAGCCAGGTTCACTTGAGGTCCTTCTGGAATTACAGGGTGGGCCGGGGCCAGAGGCTCAGAACTAGCTCCAGACACTTGGTCTCTGAAGGGCAGGAATCGCAAGCTCTCAGGTCTGGAAAGCTAGAGGGTCCAGTTCTGAGGAAGGGGACATTTTGTTGGGGGCCTAGGTAGAAGGGTCAGACCTCAGCCTTGGACAAGACTGGAGTTCATTGGATTCTGAGGGTCCAGCCTGAGTTCATGCCTAACCCAGCAACCCAGGGCCTGGCTTCCCTGTGGCTCCCACTCTATCTGAGGTGTGTGGAGAACAGGAATCCTTCCACAACCCATTCCTTCCACAATCCTTCCTCCATCTGGTGCTGCCCTCTCACCTCCACCTTTTGGACAATTGAAGGTTGCCATAAACATTCCCTAGCCATTCCCAGGCAAATAACATACTGTGGTTCTCCTTACCCACAACCGCCCTGGCCCCAATTATCCTAATAATCAAACCCAAAGAGGTCCTGGTGCTTTTGCTTCTGATGCCTTGAAACATGGTGGAGTATCTCCTACTAACCCCTTGTCGCCACAGGCTTCCACGTCCTTCAGAGACCCTGTCACCCAGGACCACACCAGCACAGGACACCTCCCTTGCAGCTCTCCTCCCAGGCACCCTGGCGATATTGCTCAGTGTTGCCTTGCCGTCTGAAATGATCTTTTGCTTCCTCATTTGTCCTTCAGCAGCTTCTTCCCCCATAGGATTCTGGGACACTGGGTGGTCACAGTCAACCCCAAGTGCAGAATATGACTGCATGCAGACCATGTTCTCAAAGGCTACTGTGTGTAGACAAGTGCGTGCCTGGGCATGTGTACACACATGAGCCTCACGGAGGCCTAGGTGGGGTCTGGGGAGGCAGCTGCTTAACGGGAAACAGCTTCCCAGCTATTCCAGGACTCCGGGCAGATAGACATGAGGCAAGGCTCGGCTGCCTTCCATGCTCCCAGCTGTGACCCCTGTGACAAAGGGAAGGAGAATTAAGGTGCCGTGGGGGAGAGACTTCCAATTGCCCTCAACAGCTGCTTCCCCACCTTGCCCACTATGGCTTAGCTGGTAGCTAACTGTCTCTGTATCTTTTGTGGTTGCTCTGGCTAGTGCCAGGAGGATACTTCCTCTTGGGCGAGGCTGTGTCCCAGAGGGCAAGGCTTCAGCAAGGGCGGCTCCCACCCCAGTTTGTTTCCCCAGGGTAGCAGTTTTTCTCCCCTCTGACTGTAACAGCCTCACTAACTTCCTGCCATGCCCCCTGCTTAAAAGCCAAGTCAAAGCCAACTCTGGCATCCATGAAAACCAGTGTTCTTACACAGCCTGAGCTATCTCTGAGGCTGACACTTAGACGTAGGCTGAAGAAGAGGCCAAAGTCTGGCAGGTCTCCTAGCCTTTCCAGCCTGCAGAACTCTGCACCCATAGGCCCCCAGCATACTTTTGGGAGGGAAACCAGCTCCCAGGACCAAGTCCTGGCTCAGTGCATTGCCCCACCTTGCCTTTAGACAGCCCTGTCTCAAGCTCTCTGACTGCCCTTTGTGAAGCAAAATCTCTCTGCTGCCCCAGAAACTCTGCAGCTCTCTCTCTGACACTTAGGTCACCTAGACCTCTCCTTCCCACAGCAGATCTAAGGCTGCCTATGTGGAACTCATGGTCTTAGTACCCTCTTGGTCCAGAATTTTTGTCCAGTTTGCTGGACTCTGGTCTTTGGTCTCTAACCCAGAGACAGGGTCTGGGAAGGTAAGGACAGAGGGGAGTAGGGCTTAGGCCTGAGTTCTGTCTTATCAACTTGGCCCTGGTCTTGTCCCTATCCCACAGATGTAGACCAAGGCCAGAGGAGATGAGGGTCCACCAGCTCAGGGTTCCTGCCAGGCCTCACGGTCCCTGACCCCTCTCCTTCTGCCACCTAGAGGCAGGCCCAGCCCTTACAAGAGCACGTCAGTCACTCAGCTTAGCTCCAAGTACAGAATAATACAATGAGGTCACTGGCCAACTCCAGCAACCAGAGTAAGCCCCAGTTATAGAAGCTAACGACTGCCTGACTCCATAGCCTGCACTAGACTTCTGTGCACACATCTGTGCCTCAGATGCACACTGTATATACATGTACTTGTATGTTTCTATGTATGCAAGTACAGGACTGGTAGCCAGTTTCAGTGTGACCTCTTACCAGCCCCGTACCAGTTCCAGGTCTTGCCAGGAAATGGGAATAATGGCCATGAGCATTTCCCGGGAGCTGATGGGAACACACCAAGATGAGCATGCCTAGGATAGACCCAGGATGTCTTGAGGGAGGACATCACTCACCCATAATCAATCACCCATCAACCCAGGCATCTTGTCTTACGATCTTTGTGTGTGTGTATGTTTGTGTGTGCATGCGCATTTGTGTATATGAGTACAGATGTGTGCAAGCCACAGAGTATGTACAGATGTCAGAGAACAATCTTGGATGTAAGTCCTTGCCTTCCCCTGTTTGAGACAGAGTCTCTTCTTTGCCACCACACACTAGACTGACTGGGCCCTGTGCTTCCTGGAATTCTCTTGTCTTCACCTCCTGTCTCATTGCAGGAGCACTGAGATCACATACACACAATATCGTGTCTCGTTTTATGTGGGTTCTTGGACTCTGAGCTCATCTTTATGCCCGGGCGGCTAGTGTTTTACTGAGCCATCTTCCCTGGCTCTATCCAGGCATCTAACTGACACTCTCCACCTTCTGTCCATGCTTCCACCCACCCAACCCTCCAGACACATTAATCACCATCTATTCATCTATCCGTCCAAGTTAAGCAGCCTTCTCCAGAAGAACAGAACTCACAGAACATATGTACATATTATCAATGAGATTTATTGTATTGCTTACATGATATGGACCAAGTAGTCTAATATTGGCCATCTGTGTGCTGGAGAGGCTGAGAACCCAGTGTCCACTCAGCCCACGAAGACAGTCATCTCAGTAACCTCAATTTGTTCCAATCAAACTTGGAAGATTCCCCAGAATCCTTGGTGCTCAGTCCATGCTGGAAAGCCAAAGAAGCTGGAGTCCAAAGTCAGCAGAGGACAGGGGCAGCAGTGTTGGACGTACTTGTTCAGGAGAAAGAAGCAAGGGGAGGTGGCCATTGCTTCTTCTCTTGGAACCTCTTTATTTCGGGATTGCTTTTTGTGTAATCTGTATCCTCCCTAGAAACACATCCTCAGATATGCCCAGAGATGGTTCTCCTAGGTGATTCTAAATCCTGTCAAGTTGACAAGCAAGACTAATCAAGCCCATTCATTCAAGACTGATCCATCCATTCATTCATTCAAGACTGATCCATCCATTCATTCATCCACCAATCCAACCAGCCATCTAGCCATTCATCCACCCATCCATTTATCTTATCCATCTGTCTTAGTTAGGGTTTTTATTGATGTGAAGAGACACCATGGCAACTCTTATAAAGGAAACATTTAACTGAGGTAGTAGCTTACAATTTTGTCATCATGGTGGAGCACAGGCAGACATGGTGCTGGAGAAGGAGCTGAGACTTCTACATCTGGACTGACAGGCAGCAGGAAGAGAGAGTGGCACTGGGCCTAGCTTGAGCTTCTGAAAA